ACTGGTATTGGCCATGAGCGGGAATCGAACCCGGGTCACCAGGTTCGTAGCGCAGCACGCCAACCACTACACTACCGCTCACACTCATTCACCCACTCATTCACCAATACCAACAGCCGCCATTCGCCACGTGGTGGCAGTGACGTCACCACGGCGCCTCTGCCAGGCCAGGTGCACTTTGAGGCCACGTGAAGTGTCGACTGAGATGACCGGTAGATGCACCAGCTGTACCCCCTAGTGTGCCAACTTGCTGCATTTTAACCACCCGGTGCTCCGCTCGTCGTTGTGAGCATCGCTCCTCTGCCTTCCGTTGTTGTTTGAGGGCGACTGCCTCCAACTGCCCAGTAGCCACCTCCACAGAGGCCGATCTTGACACTGCTGGTCCGCTCAGTTCCAAATCCTCCCGTACAGCATCAGCTCATGTCGTGCCCGTTTAGGCTCCTCTGTGTGGCCAAACAGAATCTGATTGGTCATCCGGTGGCTGGGCATGCGGGCTACGTGGCTACACACTCACACTCATTGAAACACACACACACACACACAACAATGGATGCGATTCGTCACTAAGCGGCGATGACTCCATGTGGCACCTGTGCCAGGTTAGGCTGGCCGTCAGGAGGTCACGGGAGCTATGTATGGGTTGACTGAGATGTGGTGACAGGTACAACCAAGTTTGCACCCTCTTGTGCCAACTCACTCACTATCACACTCACTCACTATCACACTCACTATCGCACTCACTCACAATCTACATAACAGGGGGAGAAAACAAACTCAAAGACACACTCACTTTCACACACTCATTCACTCTCTCTTTCACTCATACTGAATCACTCAAACTCACTTTGCAGATTTCGATTTAAAGCTTTCGTGACTGCAGGGACTCATCTTCTTGGTTCTTTCGGTAAAGTCACGTAGAAGGGAAGTAATAAAATAATAAAAATAAAGCATAATAAAATAATTCTCACGACGTTTCGGCCACAACGCAAGCAGCTGTCCTCAGGTGAAGAATGAAACACCACCAAGCTTGGAGCGTATATTTAAGCTGGGTTGGAGGGGGGAAGAAGAGCGCCTTGACAAAATAATTTGCATTTCAAGATGAATTTAGCATATTTATGGGAAATGCGTAGGAGGTGGGCGGGGGTTTTTCACTTTGCAGGATAGGGGAACATACAGTGAGGGAAAAAAGTATTTGATCCCCTGCTGATTTTGTACGTTTGCCCACTGACAAAGAAATGATCAGTCTATAATTTTAATGGTAGGTTTATTTGAACAGTGAGAGACAGAATAACAACAACAAAATCCAGAAAAACGAATGTCAAAAATGTTATAAATTGATTTGCATTTTAATGAGGGAAATAAGTATTTGACCCCTCTGCAAAACATGACTTAGTACTTGGTGGCAAAACCCTTGTTGGCAATCACAGAGGTCAGACGTTTCTTGTAGTTGGCCACCAGGTTTGCACACATCTCAGGAGGGATGTCCCACTCTTTGCAGATCCTCTCCAAGTCATTAAGGTTTCGAGGCTGACGTTTGGCAACTCGAACCTTCAGCTCCCTCCACAGATTTTCTATGGGATTAAGGTCTGGAGACTGGCTAAGCCACTCCAGCACCTTAATGTGCTTCTTCTTGAGCCACTCATTTGTTGCCTTGGCGGTGTGTTTTGGGTCATTATCATGCTGGAATACCCATCCACGACCCATTTTCAATGCCCTGGCTGAGGGAAGGAGGTTCTCACCCAAGATTTGACGGTACATGGCCCCGTCCATCGTCCCTTTGATGCGGTGAAGTTGTGCTGTCACCTTAGCAGAAAAACACCCCCAAAGCATAATGTTTCTACCTCCATGTTTGACGGTGGGAATGATGTTCTTGGGGTCATAGGCAGCATTCCTCCTCCTCCTCCAAACACGGCGAGTTGAGTTGATGCCAAAGAGCTCCATTTTGGTCTCATCTGATCACAACACTTTCACCCAGTTGTCCTCTGAATCATTCAGATATTCATTGGCAAACTTCAGACGGGCATGTATATGTGCTTTCTTGAACAGGGGGACCTTGCGGGCGCTGCAGGATTTCAGTCCTTCACGGCGTAGTGTGTTACCAACTGTTTTCTTGGTGACTATGGTCCCAGCTGCCTTGAGATAATTGACAAGATCCTCCCGTGTAGTTCTGGGCTGATTCCTCACCGTTCTCATGATAATTGCAACTCCACGAGGTGAGATCTTGCATGGAGCCCCAGGCCCAGGGAGATTGACAGTTATTTTGTGTCTCTTCCATTTGCAAATAATCGCACCAACTGTTGTCACCTTCTCACCAAGCTGCTTGGCGATGGTCTTGTAGCCCATTCCAGCCTTGTGTAGGTCTACAATTTTGTCCCTGACATCCTTGGAGAGCTCTTTGGTCTTGGCCATGGTGGAGAGTTTGGAATCTGATTGATTGATTGCTTCTGTGAACAGGTGTCTTTTATACAGGTAACAAGCTGAGATTAGTAGCACTCCCTTTAAGAGTGTGCTCCTAATCTCATCTCATTACCTGTATAAAAGACACCTGGGAGCCAGAAATCTTGCTGATTGAAAGGGGGTCAAATACTTATTTCCCTCATTAAAATGCAAATCAATTTATAACATTTTTGACATTCGTTTTTCTGGATTTTGTTGTTGTTATTCTGTCTCTCACTGTTCAAATACACCTACCATTAAAATTATAGAATGATAATTTCTTTGTCAGTGGGCAAACGTACACAATCAGCAGGGGATCAAATACTTTTTCCCTCACTGTACAAACCCCATTCACTCACTCACGTTAGAGTGGTGAGTGAGGTCTCTAGCGTGTGGTGGACTAGAGTGGTGAGTGAGGCCTCTAGCGTGTGGTGGACTAGAGTGGTGAGTGAGGCCTCTAGCGGACAGTGGACTAGAGTGGTGAGTGAGGCCTCTAGCGTGTGGTGGACTAGAGTGGTGAGTGAGGCCTCTAGCGTGTGGTGGACTAGAGTGGTGAGTGAGGCCTCTAGCGGACAGTGGACTAGAGTGGTGAGTGCGGCCTCTAGCGTGTGGTGAACTAGAGTGGTGAGTGAGGCCTCTAGCGTGTGGTGGACTAGAGTGGTGAGTAAGGCCTCTAGCGGACAGTGGACTAGAGTGGTGAGTGAGGCCTCTAGCGTGTGGTGGACTAGAGTGGTGAGTGAGGCCTCTAGCGTGTGGTGGACTAGAGTGGTGAGTGAGGCCTCTAGCGGACAGTGGACTAGAGTGGTGAGTGCGGCCTCTAGCGTGTGGTGGACTAGAGTGGTGAGTGAGGCCTCTAGCGTGTGGTGGACTAGAGTGGTGAGTGAGGCCTCTAGCGTGTGGTGGACTAGAGTGGTGAGTGAGGCCTCTAGCGGACAGTGGACTAGAGTGGTGAGTGAGGCCTCTAGCGTGTGGTGGACTAGAGTGGTGAGTGAGGCCTCTAGCGTGTGGTGAACTAGAGTGGTGAGTGAGGCCTCTAGCGGACAGTGGACTAGAGTGGTGAGTGCGGCCTCTAGCGTGTGGTGGACTAGAGTGGTGAGTGAGGCCTCTAGCGGACAGTGGACTAGAGTGGTGAGTGCGGCCTCTAGCGTGTGGTGAACTAGAGTGGTGAGTGAGGCCTCTAGCGTGTGGTGGACTAGAGTGGTGCGTGAGGCCTCTAGCGGACAGTGGACTAGAGTGGTGAGTGCGGCCTCTAGCGTGTGGTGAACTAGAGTGGTGAGTGAGGCCTCTAGCGTGTGGTGGACTAGAGTGGTGAGTGAGGCCTCTAGCGTGTGGTGGACTAGAGTGGTGAGTGAGGCCTCTAGCGGACAGTGGACTAGAGTGGTGAGTGCGGCCTCTAGCGTGTGGTGGACTAGAGTGGTGAGTGCGGCCTCTAGCGTGTGGTGGACTAGAGTGGTGAGTGCGGCCTCTAGCGTGTGGTGGACTAGAGTGGTGAGTGCGGCCTCTAGCGTGTGGTGGACTAGAGTGGTGAGTGCGGCCTCTAGCGTGTGGTGGACTAGAGTGGTGAGTGCGGCCTCTAGCGTGTGGTGGACTAGAGTGGTGAGTGCGGCCTCTAGCGTGTGGTGGACTAGAGTGGTGAGTGCGGCCTCTAGCGTGTGGTGGACTAGAGTGGTGAGTGCGGCCTCTAGCGTGTGGTGGACTAGAGTGGTGAGTGCGGCCTCTAGCGTGTAGTGGACTAGAGTGGTGAGTGCGGCCTCTAGCGTGTGGTGGACTAGAGTGGTGAGTGCGGCCTCTAGCGTGTGGTGGACTAGAGTGGTGAGTGCGGCCTCTAGCGTGTGGTGGACTAGAGTGGTGAGTGCGGCCTCTAGCTTGCGATTGGCTACGTACGGTGAGAAAGATGTTCAACATACAGTCGATCATCGATTAATTATAATCCGACGGTCCTGGGCGAAACCGCTCCAAAGCCTGTCACCTAGTTATGGCGATCAGCAGCATCATGTAGCGTGACAAAAAATGCAACTATGCTTGATTTAAGTATCATATATTATATACAGTACATTATACACTACATACGACCACTTAAATAATGAAAATGCTGCACTATATACAATTTGCATGACTAATAACTACAGTAATACTAATAACTATAGCACTTTTTGCTGGATCGGACTGTATATGTCATGCATGAAAACTGTATATATACTTGCAGTATATTCATTGTTTAAGTTGTATGTCGTGTATAATGTACCGTATATAATATTTAAAACTGAAATCAAGCATGGCGACTTTTTTGTCACGCACATGGTGCCGATCGCCGGACTAGTTACAGCCTTTGGAGTGGTTTTCCGGCGATCACCGGAATTGCAATGCCAGATCGGCCCATGGGAGCATCAGATAATGTTGGAGGCTGGATAATCGCGCGGTGATGGATAATCAGTGTTAGGGCTGCTAACAAGTCCTTTGGTTGGCCTTTGTGTTTTTTTCCACGACAGATCGCATTGCAGCTCACTCTCCCCCCCTCCCCTCACCCGTTGGCACTCTCTGTCTCGCTCTGATTTTCCTCGCAGCTTCCTGGATCGACCCGGATGACACCAAACCGGACCCAGCCACATCCCGACCTGGCGAGACGCACGCCCACTCGCGGGGTCCCGGAACAAGGGGAGCCACAGGATCCAGACCCCAGGCGGACGGGGATAGGGCGGTCGCGGCCGCCCCCCCACCACTGCAACCCTCCCACAAGTCCCAGGGGGTGGTGGCGGCGTCGCAGGCGAAGGTGGGTGAGTAGGGCGAGGAGTAGGGCAAGTTTCATTTTTTTTTTCAGCCGACGTCACGATTCGAAAATTTGCTGTTCGTGGGTTAGGGCCAACATCACGAAGCGACCACGTCCATGTTCGTGAGGCCCCCTCCACCGACACCGTGGAGGGGGCCCCCCAAATTTAATTTTAATTTTCCACGTGCTGGGCGAGTATTTTAGGACACTCCGGTTATCATCGGGAAGTCTGAAAAACTATTAATAAAGCAATGGCATATTGAGTGATTTGACCACATTAATTCATAAGCACGGTTGGCTACGTACGGTGGAAAAGAATTTCAGCATACGTACATTAACCTCTTAGGTATCGCTTCCTGTCACTCTCCGCTCCCGTGTGGGCCACATTGATTGCATCGCATCTCCTATTTAAAGCCCAAGACATTTTTGCAATTCTGGAAACTGCCTGATGGTGCCGGTTGTAACTGATGGCAAAAAGCGCCGGACTCCCCAATGTTAGATGTTGTGTGGATCGCTCTCCAGCAACACTACGAGTGGTGCCGCTGAAGCAGCAGTATGTGGGCCACTTTGTTCATCACGTGGCTACTTTGTTAATTGGCTGTGTCGAGGTGGAGGAGGGGTGCACAGCACAACATTTAACTTGTGCGGCCATCTGAGCCAAAGCAAAAAAACGATTATCAACGTTAATAATATTGGACGCAAAAGAGTTTGCGGATTCTCTCTCTCCCCGCGGTCGAGTGGATTTTTCTCCGGGTCCTCTGGCTTTTCCTTCCACATTTAGAATCAACGCCACGCGTTTAGAGTATTTGGCTGCTATACATTTCTACACGATAAGGGAACTTCGTTGAGCTATCCATTTGTAAAAGCCAGGTCGCTTCTGAAAAAGAGATATACATTACAGCCCAGTGAGCCTTACCTGATAGAATTAAAAAAACATTTGAAGAATAAAATTGAACGGCAACTTTCACAGTAAAATCCAAAAGTTGCATGCAAAAGTTGCATACGGGTCTAGAACTGACGATGCTTGACGTGGTTTCAAGCGGCAACATCGACAATCTGATTTGATCACCGCTCGACGTGGTGGTGAGAGTGGTGCTCCGGCTGAATGTGCGAGTCGGAGCTGAAGCGATCGTGGACCCACTTCCCGACCCCACGCGACCTTTTTTTTTCTCTCGCCGTGTCAGGCGGTGGATGTTTCGCAACAACAAAATCTTGGGCTTGAACAGCACAAATATCTCGGCACCGCTGGCCCGCCGGCTCCGACATGGCCATTATGAGCCCCCTGAGACAGAGAGAGAGAGAGAGAGAAAGAGACACACAGGCCAGTGAGAGGTTTGATTGTTAGTGGAATTGGTTTGGTGTCTCCGACAAGACCATTATGAACCCCCTGAGAGAGAAAGAGAGACACGCAGGCCAGTGAGAGATTTTATCCTTAGTGAAATTGGTTCGGTGTCTCTGACACGGCCATGATGAACCCCCTGAGAGAGAGAGAGTGGGATACGCAGGCCAATCAGAGCTTTGATTCTTTGTGGAATTGGTTCGACACGACCATCGTGAGCCCTGCCGCTCGTCCGCCTGCACGCTGCAGCGTACGAGCACGGAGCACCGTGTTGCGACACGCAGGAACTCGGATGAAGAAGCCGTGGTGACGATGAACGACGTATGAAAAAATAAGAAGAGGTTTGTTACTCTTTCTGGCAATGTTAAGATGCTCAAACACCAAATAGAAACCTTTTGCAAGGAATCAAATATGCATTAACCACACACAGCACTTGTGGTGAACATGCAATCAAACATGCTATGATAATGTGATGCATTACCGTTGAAACTGATTGCCCTACACCAGAGACAACAGCCTTCTTTAGGGCCTCGTCTCACCAGTGTCAGACCAGAGAACAGCGCCAAAAGGCGAACCGTACAAAAACAATACAGGTTTATCTGGGTTAGATCACGTAAATATATAAACGTGTCGTTAAACCCGCCACCACCCGACAGCCGATTAGTAAGGTTTGTCACGTAAACAGAACGTGCAATTCTGTTTCGTTACTCGTGCCAGTTCGTTACTAGTAGTACTAGTAGTACTAGTAACGAACTGGCATGTTCTGACCTTACTAATTGGCTGTGTCGAGTGGTGGCGGGTTTAACGACACATTTATATATTTACGTGATCTAACACAAAAAAAACCTCTCTTATGGATGATATTGATTGCAAAAGCCTCCTACGTGTTAAACATTACAAATAATGCACTATCAGGGCATTCATAGTTCAGGGTGAGCAGCTACAAAATGGGACTTTTTTTATACTGGCAAAAAGGTCCCATTACGATCAACGACGCTGGCACGGGGAAGCCGTTGTGAAGTTCACGATATATGACCCCGCGCCAAGCGGCAACGCCGCCTGCCGCCATCGTCGGCGCTGGGACTCAGCCTGGCAAATAAATACTGTAAAATAGCATGAACAAAAATAACTCTTCTTTATGAGTGCCAAGATTTAGGAATCAGATTGACACTAAAAGACAAACCGGGGGGGGGGGGGGGGGGGGGGGTGGAGAGGGCCCGGCAGGGAGGGGGGTGCAGAGGGGAGGGTGGGACATAGTGTATAATGAAATAGCAATCTTTGGAGATCGTAATCAACCAGGCTATGCGTTAATTGTGTGTTAGCCGACTCTGTGTTTGCAATGCATTACATTTCCCAAAAAATTGCTACATTTTGTTTTCTCAAACTGCCTATTTCTCTCATAGGTCCATTCGCTCTTTCTCTCCCTCGGTCGCTTCGGGGTGGATTTCCACACAACTCTCTCTAAAATGTACCAGTCTTGTTGGGTCTTTCATTGACATGCTAATTTCTCTGCTCCAGCAGACCAACCTCTCTCTCTGACCCCCCCCCCCCTCTCTCTATATAAGACATCGACACAGAGGCATTGGGTCTCTGTGTGTCTGTTGTGTGTCCGTCTGTGTGCCTCCATGTCTGTGTTTTGTCTCTCTCAAATTGAGTTCTATCTGATGACGGTTGCTTGTGTTGCAATCGAAACATCGTATTCTATTATTTAATTTATTTTCTTTCTACCCGAATTTACCGAAAGAATCATAGAGTAATAAAATAAGTATTGTAATTTCTACGCTGATCACCAATTCGTATTTGTCTAGCATATCTCAAGTTGGGATGCGACGGATGCGACCGAGTTCATGGGGGGGGCGTCGGCGTGGGGTGGGGGGGTAGGGGGGTGCGGGGGGGGTGGAGATTTAGAGGAGCCCAGCCCGTAAATCCCCCGGCGCGTTAACCGCACGCGTGCCCGCGTCACTCCTCGCGCGTTGTAAAGACGTTGCCGGGAGGTTTTGTGGCCTCGTAACGGCAAGACGGGCCAGGAGCTGACAACGCCGGCTCTGTGGTTTCAAGGTTAAAGGCCTGAGGCTCGGGGTGGGTGTCTGTGTGTGCACGCGTGTCTCCCTCTCGCTCTCTCTTTCTCTCGGGGAGGTTCATAATGGCTGTTGGCACCCCCAGCTATCTCTGCTTGAGAAGCCCGCTTTAAATCCAGGTGTTAGTTATGAGGTGGTTAAGATGCAGCCCTGCAGTTCCCACACTCGTACTGATCAGTGGCGAAAGGGAGTCCGCGAGAGGGAAACTTCGAGAGCCCCTCCAGTGGCGCTGGCGGTGATGGCGGTGATGGTGATGGCGGTGGTGGTGATGGTGGCGGTGGCGATGATGGCGGTGGTGATGGTGGCGATAGTGGTGGTGGTGGTGGTGGTGGCGGTGGTGGCGTTGGTGGTGGTGGTGGCGGTGGTGATGGCGGCGGGATGGCAGTGGGATCGAGTGTTGCTCCCTCGCTCGAGGCGTGGGATCGTCTCCGGGTCCTCCGCTTTCCTCCTCCCCCCACGTGGATAATAAACAGGACGACTCAAGATTGTCAATCGGCTGAAACGTCTCACTCATAAACACCCCAACGTAGTCCTATTACTCAGTGTGACTCTCCTGGATTAATAAGTAAATTATTATTATAATTATTGTCCAAATCCTAGCTCCACACCCTAACCCTGACACTAGTCCTAACCATAGGGGTTCAATTCAGCCGAGTCTCTCTAAGAAAGTGACCGCACCCGACACGCCACTCTCCAGAATCCCTCTGGCCGTGGCTAATGATCGCGTGCCGCCTGCGCCGGTACAAACCGGCGACCCAAGAAACATTCGGTGAGAGCCGGCGACCCCTTGGGTGCATGCCACGTCGTGCAGCCGATTTGTCGATCTTTACTCTGTGAACCCTGTAACCCCCCCCCCCCTCCTCTGACTCCTGACCTCACCCAGACTCCCAAGGGGTCGCAACCCCGCCTGGTGGTGTCTCTGCACGAGGAGCCGGTATACTTTCTGCACCAGGGCGAGATTCCTGTGAGTTGCTCGCGCCCCCCATCACTCGCGAGTCACGGTGTAGAGTGAGTGTAGTCAGGGTGTAGTCACGGTGTAGTCACGGTGTAGTCACGGTGTAGTATGAGTGTAGTCATGGTGTAGTCACGGAGCGGTGGTGCGTGTGGCTGTGCAGGTGAGCGGCGGCGGCACGGTGGAGGTGCTTTGTGTATGTAGTCACGGTGTAGTCACGGTGTAGTCAGGGTGTAGTAGGAGTATAGTATGAGTGTAGTCGGGGTGTAGTATGAGTGTAGTCAGGGTGTAGTATGAGTGTAGTCAGGGTGTAGTCAGGGTGTAGTCACGGTGTAGTCAGGGTGGAGTAGGAGTGTAGTCAGGGTGTAGTCACGGAGCGGCGGTGGTGTGTGTGAGCGTGCAGGTGAGCGACGGCACGGTGGAGGTGCTTTGTGTATGTAGTCACGGTGTAGTCATGGTGTAGTCAGGGTGTAGTCAGAGTGTAGTCAGGCTGTAGTCACGGAGTGTGTGTGAGCGTGCAGGTGAGCGACGGCACGGTGGAGGTGCGTGCGCGCCTCACCTGGCTGCTGAGCCCCACGCTGGACGACCTCGCCCTCTTCAGCTGCGAGGTTCAGCACCCAGCGCTGTCCATGGCCATGCAGCTCGAGCGCACCCTGAGTGAGGACGCGGCGGGTGGGGGGGGCGCAGTGGGGGGGGGGGGGGGCGCAGTGGGGGGGGGGGGGGCGCAGTGGGGGGGGGGAGTGGTGCTCAGTTGGGGAGGGGAGCGTGGTGGGGGGGGCGCAATGGGGGGGGTGCTTGGTGGGGGTGCTTGGTGGGGGGGGGAGCACGGTGGAGGGGGGGTGGTGGTGACGCGCGCACCGAGCGACCGTACTTCACCGCGCCGGTCACCCACGACGGCGAGGGAGTGTTGCCGCTGGGTTTAGCCCTGACAATGCTGGCAGCGTGCCTACCAGGTGCTATAGGCCGCTGCGCTACGCTTCCTGGAACCGCAGAGGCCAAGTGCAACAGAGTCCGGTGTGTTGCGCTGTACTTCTGCGCTCCGATTTCCTGGAAGTTACCGAGCTCCCGGCTGTTACCGGCCCTACGCTGACCCAGCACGGGAAGTATGGTGGATTGACGCCGCCCGCCCCACACTGCCCTGGGGAGGCCCTCACCCAGCAGTAGAATGACAGCAGGGCCATGCGTATGTACACGCTCATTGGTGTACACACATATGCGTCCGTACACACCACACGTGCACATTTGTGGATGTCCACGTGTGGCTAATATTTTAACCGGTCCTGGGACTCCCCTAGGTCGACTCAGCCTCAAATGAGTAGCTGATGCAGTGTGTAGTAACATCAGCAGGGGGGAGACAAAGGTTGCCGGGCGTGGTGGAGGCCACACCAGGCCCTGTTGAGCCATTTCGGCTTTTAGAGGCGCTACTCACTCACAGTGTACACTTTGTGTGTGTATATACGTGTGTACGTGTGTGTGTACACGTGTGTGTGTACACGTGTGTGTGTGGGGAGTCTGGCAAAAAACAACCCACTACCTCCTCGTGGTGCCGGGCGTCAATGCTGTGGTGGGCATCGCCATGGGGGGAGGACCAATTTAAATTGCTCTTTCCCGTCATGGCGTTCGTAATCACCACAGTAGCCAAATGGAGGCTCTGGACGGGTGCGAGGCGCTGGTAACCCCTCAACCTTCAATTAATGAGCACTAAACCACGAGGGAAAATTTTAATTAATTAGCTTGTGCCGGAGGCCCCGGGGGGACAGGCGTCTATGACGTCTCCTGGCCAAACCCCATTTGGCGGAGCCAGGAGACTGAATCCTTACCCTCAGGGCTCATCCAAAAGCAACAAAAAACTACTACGTGTGGCCACGTGGAATATTCGAACGCTCACTGCGGAGAAGAGGCTGCCACTCCTCTGTCGGGAGCTGGACTGGTACCGCCTGGATCTCTGTGGTATTCAGGAGGTCTGGTGGACCGGCTCTGGCTCCTGCCACCATGAGGGGTGGACAGTCCTCTTCTCGGGGCAGGAGACTGCCAAACAACAGGGAGTGGCTCTTCTTAAGTACAAACGAATTAAGGGAGTGTTGGAGCGTGGCAGTGAGGTGTGGAACGCTGTAAGCCCCAGGCTACTTTGGGCTCGCCTTCCCATGCCCAGCCACCTAAACAGCTTTTGTTCGGCCGGATCGAGGGGGCTAAACGGGCGCAGCACGGGCTAGAGAAGAGATGGAGTGATGTGGTACAGGAGGATGTGGAGCTGAGTGGACTTGCTGATGACTGGTACTAGCGGTGTCAATATCGGCCTCTGTAGAGGAGGCTCGTGAAGGGCGCTACTGGGCAGTTGGAGGCAGTTGCCCTCCAACGACAACGGAGGGGGGAGGAGCGACACTCACAACGAGCGGAGCGCCGGATGGTTAAAGCACAGCAAGTTGGCACAGTAGGGGGCACAGGTGGTGCATCAGCCAGTCATCTCAGTCAGTCGACCCGTGGCACCTGAGTCTGCCTCGTGACCTCCTGTCAACAGGCGTTTGACACTTCACGTGGCCTCAACATGCACATAGCCTGGTACAAGCATCGTGGTGACATCACCGCCACTTCGTGGCGAATGGCGGTTGTTGTTTGTTGTTGTACCTGTACATGTGTTTGGGTTTTTTCCATCTGGTTTCTATACATTGTGTTATTGCTATTATCGCTACTGTCCTGAGTTTGCACTCACTCACTCATCCAATCACTCATACATTCACTCACCCGCTCACCCACTCGCTCACCCACTCACCATTATAAATGACACTCCTATCGTGTCTCCCGAGGTCTCGCCCGGTTGAACAAAATCAATTTGAACTCACCCACTCACTCCTAATCTCGCCCACCCACCCTACTCGCTCAAACACCCACCCACCAACACACTCGCTCAACAACCCAACCACTTACCCACCCACTCGCTCACCCACCTTACTCTCTCACCCATCCACCCACTCACTCAACCACTCACCCTACTCACACACTCACTCACCCACTCGTCCAGCCACCCAGTCGCTCACCCAACCACCCACCTGCTCATTCACCCACCCACCCACCTGCCCACCCACCCACCTCATTCACCCACCCACTCACCCTACTCACACACCCTACTCACCCACACGCCACCCACTCGCCCAGCCACCCAGTCGCTCACCCACCCGCCCACCTACCCACCTGCTCATTCACCCACCCACTCACCCTACTCACACTACTCACACACCCACTCACCCACTCGCCCAGCCACTCACCCACCCACCTGCTCACCCACCACACTCACCCACCCACTCACCCACCCGCCACCCACTCGCTCATTCACCCACCCACCCACTCGCCCACCCACCCACCTGCTCACCCACCCACTGTTACTAAACGACACCGTACCCGCGTGGAGCGTGCGACGTGGGGGCCGCGTTCCCTCCATTGTTGCCTCCCCCCAGCCGCCCCCAAGGGCCTGCGGATCGACATCCTCCCGCGGAGGCCCCTGGTGGGACGCACGGTGCGGTTCAGCGTCGACTTCCAGGTAAGCGGAACCCCCGCCGACGTCCAGCACGGTGACGTGGGGGGGGGTCTATAAATACACAACGGGAGACGATTCGCCCGATTGCCATCCTGTGACGGCACTGTTTGTGTGTCGTGAAAAAGGGCCGTTGCCCGGAACGTTGCCTGTTTTAAAATGTTGCCCCCCCCCCGCCCGTCACAAACATCCCCCAAGCAGCCCCCAACAAACTGTTGGGGGGCAAGCGCCGTTTGGGAGCGCACGAGGCGGTCGTGTGGCCAACAACCACGCCCCGGCCGCCTTTGTCTCCAGGCGTTGACCACCTCGCCCGGTAGGCAGCACGTCGTGGGTTCGTTCCCGACCCTGACGCCTGCTGCTGTGTATTTGGAGTTTGTGGTGTCTCTCTCCCCGTGGTCGCGTGGATTTAGCTCCGGGTCCTCAATTTGGCCGCTATAAATGACTACGTGATGATGATGATGATAAGCCTCTTGCTTCAGTTGTCATTTGCAGCCAGGCTGCTTCTGAAAAAGAGCTGCGTAGCTCAGGGGACCTTACCTGGTAAAATAAAAACAATAGTGACGCTGTAGTTTAGTCTCCGCATGTGCTGATGTTCGCTTACTGCACCAAAGTGCAGTGCTCCTTTAACACTGACTCGACCTAGGGGACGCCTAGGACCGATTCAAATATAAATACACCGCTGTTATTTAGCTGCGGTCCCTTTGTGAGCCGTATCATCCCCACCCCCCGTGGCCTCCCTCCCCCCCCCGTGTTCCCACCCTCGGTGGCCCCCCACACCCCCCCCCCCGGTACCCCCCACCCACCCCCCATGTGTCCCCCCATGGCCCCCCCCCGTGTCCCCCCCCCCGTGTCCCCCCCCCCCCCGTGCCACCCCCCACCAGAGCGAGGTGTTCCCCGAGCCGCTGTACAGGTGGACGCGCGTGGGGGGCCCCCTGCCCGACGGGCGCCCCCACAGCGAGGGGCCGCGGCTGCTGCTGGACAACGCGGGGGCGGCGCTCAACGGCTCCATGTTCCGCTGCTCCGCAGAGAACGCCCTGGGGGCCACCGACATCCACACACGCCTCATCATCTACGGTGTGTGTGTGTCCACTCACCACTCGCTCACCACTCACCACTCACTCACGACCGACATACACCACTCGCTCACTATAGACACACACACACGCCTCATCATATACGGTGTGTGTGTGTACACTCACCACTCGCTCACCACTCACTATCGACATACACCACTCGCTCACCACTCGTTCACCAGAGACATCCACACACGCATCATCATGTTTCGTGTGTGTGTACGCTCAACACTCGCTCACCACAGACATACACGACTCATCATATTCAGTGTGTGTGTGTACGCTCACTACTCACCACTCACTCACCACATACACACGCCTCGTCATATTCGGTGTGCCCCTGCGTGGAACGAGGTGATCATCACGAAGCAAGGCGCCGCTGTGTGTGTCACGACAGTAGTTTGGCAGTAGGGAGGCAATGCTGCTGCTGCTCCTGCTGTGGCTTCTACTGCTGCTGCTCCTGCTGCAGCTTCTACTGCTGCTACTCCTGCTGCTGCTACTGCTGCTGCTGTTGCTCCTGCTGCTGCTCCTACTGCTGCTCCTGCTGCAGCTTTTTACTGCTGCTGCTCCTTCTACTGCTGCTGCTCCTGCTGCTACTCCTGCTGCTGCTCCTGCTGCGGCTTCTACTGCTGCTGCTCCTCCTGCTCCTCCTGCGACTTTTACTGCTGCTGCTCCTGCTGCTGCTGTCCGTAGTTGTGACTGAGTGAGTTGCGGTTGTGTCGTTCTCTTTCGATTAGTCAAAATCTGTAACCGTGACGCGGGCGCACAGAGCTGCCTGCTGTCCGCTACAAACGACGTCGCGGGGATCTTTAACGTCCGCTGCGAGCATAGCAGCCGGTGCGGAGTCGCAGCAGCGGCTTGTTAGAGGATAAGCACTCCTCCTCGTTTTAACGACGGTAATTGGTCGTTAGGTGATTTGGTCGTTAAGCGAGTGTCGGGAATGCACGTTAAAGGATTAAATTCCGATTTAAAGCTTTCGTGACTGCAGGGATTCATCTTCTTGGTTCTTTCGGTAAAGTCACGTAAAATGGAAATAATAAAATAATAAAAAGAAAACATAATAAAATAATTCTCACGACGTTTCGGCCACAACGCAAGCAGCTGTCCTGCTTGCGTTGAGAAAGCAACGAAAGTTACCCATTTTCGTCTAAAAAAGTACTTTATAATAGTTTAACAATGGAGAGCAATACATAAAGATATGAACAACATTATAAACACATAATATTAAAAGAAACACAGTTAATACATGTTTTAATTAATATTTACTGCACCTACAACAGCCCGTCGTTAAGAGGGGAATGGTCGGTAAGAGGGATTCTATACTACCATACACTACTCGACCATACACTACACTACTATACACTGCACTACTATTCACTACTCTATACACTACACTACCATACACTACTCTACTATACACTACTCTACTATACACTACACTACCATACACTAATTTTTATTTGAAGCTTTCGTGACTGCAGGAATCCATACTCTTTGGTTCTTTCAGTAAAGTCACGTAGGTTTAAAATAAAATAAATCACGACGTTTCGATCGCAACACAAGCGGTCGTCCTCAGGCGGAAAAAATATAATCCAGCAGTGGAACTGCTGAACCAGCGAGAGAGCTGTTACAACAAGAGGTTATTTACGTGGCAATAGGTAAGCAAGCAGGGTCTGAGCTGGAAAGGAATTCCATCCACGGACGCAAGCACGTCAGTTGTGTTAATGGGGGAGATTAGGGAGAGAGGGATTAGAGAGGGAGATTAGCATGAATGAGCTTCCGTCGCCACATAAGAGGACCATGCCCGCATATGCGCACAACAGCAGTGTTAATGAGAGATTAGCACCATGGGAGTGCAATCCAAAGGACATGTGGGCATCAGAGTGCAATCCAAAGGACATATGAGCATGAGAGTGCAATCCAAAGGACATGTGAGAGATTTAAGAGAGAGGCATAGAGAGAGACACACAGAGAGTCGGAAATAACAGCTGAAATAGGCAGGTAGGATGGAAACATCACAGTAAGTTAAGACTTTACCTGGTTAATAACGTCCTTCCAATGATTGCTCAGTTTGTACGCATCTTCTCGGTTGAAGTTGTGTCTGTGTTTATATATCTGGATGGCTTCATGAACAAATCTCTGAAGGGAGCCGGTAGGTTTGCAGAGTACCTCCATCTTGGAAAAATACATTTCGTGTGAGTCCACAGCGTTAAAACAATGATCAGCAATGGCAGAGGTATTGGTCCTACCATGTTTCAGATCTGCCTTGTGTTCACGAACGCGGTCCGAGACATGTCGTTTCGTTTCCCCAATGTAACTGCTGCCACAACCACAACTCAATTTGTAGACACCAGGGTATTGCATGTCAGGAATCACATTCTTTACAGATGCGATTAAATCACGGATTCTGTGTACTGTGTTGAAACGAACCTGGATCTTGTGTTTGTTTAAGATTTTGGAAATATCTTTGGTAACCCCTGCTATGTATGGTAAAGTGATGGTTTTGGTTGGATCCTCAAAAGGTTGTCTCCCCATGGCTGGGGTGAAAGCTTTGCGGATTGTACGGTCCGAGAGGGCTTGGTGTACGTGCTCCAACTCACTAACTAGGTGGTGCTGGTCAGATATGCAACGGGCCCTATGGTGTAGTGTTTTGATGAGGGAATTCTTCTGGGCTGGATGGTGGTGGGAGTCAGGCTTTAGATAGGCATCCGTGTGGGTGGCTTTCCTGTAGACCAAATGTCCCAACGAGCCATCAGGTCTCTTCTCGATCAAAACATCCAGGAATGGTAGTTTGCCATCCTTTTCCACTTCCATGGTGAATTTGATAGACGGGTGTATGGAATTGATGTGGTTGAGAAATTGGTTGAGTGCTGGCAGGCCATGTGGCCAGATGACGAATGTCTCATCTACGCATCTCTTCCACAAGGGAGGATGTAGGGTGGATGTCTGGATGGCATCTGTCTCAAATTTCTCCATGAAAACATTCGCTACCACTGGCGATAAGGAAGAACCCATTGGGGTACCCTCATTTTGTTTGTATAATGTACCATTCCAGGTGAATTATGTGTTGGTAAGACAGTGCCTTACCAAAGTTGGTACATCTGGATTCAGTCGTTGTTGGACCAAGTCTTCAATGATTGCAATGGTGTCAAGTACAGGTACATTTGTGAACAGAGAGACTACATCGAAACTTACGAGTAAATAATCTGGGGACAGTGAGATGTCTTTAATTGACGATACCAGGAGTTAAGAACAGAAGAGGTGGTCTTACTAGTGAATGGCTGTGAGGTCTCAGACAGATATCGGGCCAGTTTGTCGGTGGGTGAATCAATGGTAGAGACGATGGGACGAAGGGGTGTACCTTCTTTATGGATTTTTGGTGAGCCATATAATCTGGGTGGTCTTCCAGCAGAAGGTTTTAAGGAAAACCATTGGTCTGTTCAATTAATTAAGCTGAATGAGTGATATTGTTCGTTTTTGTAACGAGGTTGTTGGTGGGATCTCTCTTATTTCTTGTCTAGCTACCATCATTAAGTAGGTCCTGACATGATTTGTCCATGATGACAGTGGCATTGCCCTTGTTGGCTGAGAGCATAACGATATCATCCCTCTTTTTCAATTGAGATAACTCAAAACGATCATCCTTATTGATATTGCTGACTGATATCTTAGTGCTTTTGAGGGTTGCAGTGAATTCAGATCTTGTCACATCTGCAGCGATGTGTCCCAAACCCTTAAGAGCTACATCGACCTGGGCAATGATGTCATCCACTGGTATCTGTTTGGGGGTGACTGCAAAGTTGAACCCTTTAGCTAAAACTGACTTTAGACCATCGGAAATTGGGTTATTACTCAGATTAATAACAACCTTGTCAACGTCTAACTTTTTTACGTGTGGATTTGATTTCTTCTTGGAAAGGAGGTTGAACTTAGCTGACATTGAATCGGCTGATGAAGCAGTCATGTTATCTACATGTTCCCAATCAGATGTAGACATTTTTTCCATCAATTTTAAGTGTGATTTCAAGAGTCTCTTGTCTACATGATCTAGTTCAGTACGGAGCAGTCTAATTCTCTCTGAGATCAGGGTCAAGCTAGTCCTGAACTAAATTCGTTTGGCATTGGAAGATGTGACAGCAGCAGAGGTCAGTGTGAATGAGGTCGGTATTACCTTAGAGTCGCAGCATCTCTTCAGAAATGTGAGTGACTAGATCAGATGAAGCATTCTTGTCTCGGAGTTTGTTAAAATATCTTATGGTTATGTGGAAACCCTCCCTGTAGAGACTGTCCCCAGATGATTTACTCGTCAGTTTCGATGTAATTTCTTTGTTCACCAAAGTACCTGTGCCCGATACCATTGCAATCATTGAAGACCTGTTCCAACAATGATTGAATGCTGATGTACTGGCCCTGGTGAAACACTGCCTCACCAACACATACTTCACCTAGAATGGAACATTCTACAAACAAACCCCAATGGGTTATCCATTATCTCTGGTTGTAGCCAATATTTTAATGGAAAATTTGAGACGGACACATTCCAGGCATCCACTGTCGCTGTGGAAGAGGTATGTAGATGATACGTTTGTCATCTACATACCTCTTCCACACACATTTGTCATCTGGCCACATAGCCGACTGGCTCTAAACCAATTCCTCAACCACAGTAATTCCATACACCCAGCCATCAAATTCACCATGGAGGTAGAAAAGGATGGCATGCTACCTTTCTTGGATGTCCTAATACAAAAGAGACCAGATGGCTCAATCAGCCCCCCATACTGACGCCTACCTAAAACATGATTCACACCACCATCCATCCCAGAAGAATTCCTTCATCAAAACGCTACACCATAGAGCTCAATGTATCTCCGACCATGAACACCTAACCAGTAAACGCAAACACCTACACCAAGCTCTCAAGGCGAAATCATATTCTGACTACACAATCCGCAAAGCCATCACCCTGAACGTGAGGAAGGAGCCATCTGAGGATCCAATCAAAACCATCACCCTGCCATACATAGCAGGGGTAACCAAAATATTTCCAAAATCATGAACAAACACAAGATCCAGGTCCGATTTAACATAGTACATAAAATTCATGATCTGATCCCACCTGCGAAAGACAAAGATTCCTGACATGCAATATCCCGGCATCTACAAACTAAGCTGTATCTGCGGCAGCAGCTACATTGGGGAAACTAAGCGACATGTCTCGGACCGTGTTCGTGAACATAAGCCAGATTTGAAACACGGTAGGATCAATACTTCTGCCATGGCTGATCATTATTTTAATGCGGCTGGCTCACACGAAATGTATTTCTCTAAGACGATGGTACTTTGCAAGCCTACTGGCTATCAACAAAGATTTGTTCATAAAGCCATCCATATCTACACACAGAGACAATTTCAACCGAGATGAAGGTTATAGACTCAGCAATCATTGGAAAGATGTCATCAACCACTTTGGGTCATGACTTGATTTGTGTTTTCTTGTCAACCTCCACCGTCAGCAGTGTGGATGTGTGGAGCGAGGTGCAATGCTTTGATTGGTGTAAACCTACTGCCGGTGTCGGAGCTTTCTCCTACATTAACATTAGCTGCCCCGCCCATTTCTACACCTTTATAAACAGCTTGCCCTCAGAGGCTAACCTCCCTGTTCCTGAGGACGACTGCTTGTGTTGCGATCTAAACGTCGTAATATTTGTATTCACTTTATTTTTATTATTTTATTGTTATAATTTTCTCTCTCTACGTGACTTTACCGAAAGAACCATAGAATATGAATTCCTGCAGTCACGAAAGTTTTAAGTAAAAATTTACTATACACTACTATACATTACTATACACTACACTACTATACACTACAAATTGGGCTCTATGGAGGCCCGTCGTTAAGCGATTAGTCCTGAACTGGGGTGGTCGTCAAGACGGGTTCTACTCTACACCGTTAGCGCACAACTTTCCGCAGCATTAACTAGGGGAGGGGGGGTCGACCTGCCAGATTGGAACCGTGAACCCTCCTGCAAACAAAGCATCAGAACCGCGTCACTGGCACCGATCCACTTATTTCTCCGACGACGCCGCAATCATCCTTCAAGCGATGTCGTTTTATCCGCAAGTTGCGGTGCGCAACTGGTCGGAGGTGTTTACCCTCGGCGGGCGCGGGGTTAGCGTTGTCCGTGGTACGCGCACGGTGGTAACGCGTGCACGGCTTTGTCTCGTCCGCTGCGTCTGTGTGTGGCCCACATAGAGAACCCGGCCGCCGCCAGCGGACGCCAGAGGCTGCCGGCGGTGGCAACCGGAGGTGAGATGGGGGGGAACTCCATGCGTCGCCGCTCACCTGCATCACCTGCGTCACTTGCGTCACCTGTGTCACCGCTCACCACTCACCTATGTCACCGCTAACCTGTATCACCGCTCACTTGCATCACCACTCACCGGCGTCACCGCTTACCTGTGCCACTGCTCACCTGCGTCACCTCTCACCTTTGGACAGGTACTACGAGGACCCAGAATCCTTTGCAGCGGTGCTTGCTGATGGCAGCCATGACCTTGGCCCTTGGCACGTGACATCGACCTCTGACCTCTCAACTCTACCCACCATCCCCCTCTTTCTACCCCTTTTTGAAAAAAAGAATTGAATTTACAAAATAATTCTAATTATGATGATAATAATAATATATTGGTCTATATATTCATTAGGAGATGGAAGATATTTTTATTGTGTTTTAAGGTATGGAAAAATAAATGTTAAATTAAGCAATTTTTTAAATGCAAGCAGGTGCACACACACACACATCTCTAAACCCAGGGTACTTATACAGATACACACAGGGCTACTGAAATACCGTATACAAAGACAGCTACACACACAAAGGCAATGGTGCCCAGAATAGCCTGAACAGACTGTTGGGGTAAGTGCTGTTAGCAAGCCCCGAAGTAGACCGACACGGCACACGAAAGGGTGGGTGTCCAACACCACGCCCGGCCGCCTTTGTCTCCTCAGTAGTGATGTTTACACATTGCACTCGATATTCACTTAAGACTGAGTCGATTTAGGGGAGGCCCAAGACTGGTTCATATAATTATCACTGGTGTTGGGCCGTGAGCAGGAATCGAACTTGGGTCGCTGGGTTGGTAGGGCAGTGCTAGCCGCTACACTACCGTTACCCAAAGACACAGTTCCCCCGTATAGCCTTCACAGATTGTTGGGACAAGTGCTGTTAGCGAGCACCTATGAAGGCCAGCACGGCACACGAGGGGGTGGATGGCCAACACCACACCTGGACGCCTTTGAGGCCGGGTCGACCTAGGGGAGGCCCAGGACCGGTTCAGATAATCGTCACTGGCGTTGGCCAAGAACGGGAATCTAACCCGGATTGCCAGGTTCGTAGCGCAGCGCGCTAACCGCTACTCTACCGCACCCCACCCCCACTGGTACACACACAGATAAAGCGAACATGTACGTCGACAGGTACATCCATCGGTACACACACACAGATAAACGTATACACAGAGGCATGCGCGCACAGGTACCCACATACAGTTCAGTAAACATACTCATGGATACACACAAGGACACATATATAGGTACACAGGTACAGGTGCATTATCACACAAAGGCACACACACATATACGCAGAGGTACATACACATAGGTAGATATACGTGAATACACGTGCATACACAGGTGTATCTAAACCCAGGTACACACATAGGTACATATACGCAGGTGTGTACATCACAACCCTCATCCAGGAGTGGATTGTCAAAAAGGTTATGCATACTCACACACGTACACAGGTAAACCTTAACACAGGTGCACGTATCGACAATCGTTACACAAGTGCTGACTGGTACGTGTACAACGAGGTACACACCGCCGGTACAACAAACAAAGACAAAGATCCCCCGTATAGCCTACGGCCGACTTTGTCTCCCTAGTGGCGATGTTTACACCCCACACCAGGTACTCATTTGCGGCTGAGTCGACATAGAGGAGGCCCATGACCGGTTCAGGTAATCGTCACCAGTGTTGGTTGTGAGCGGGAATCGAGCTCGGGTGGTCGGGTTCCTAGCACACCACCCTAACCGCTGGACCACCGCTCCCCCATCCGCAGGTACACACAGGTGTACACAGGGTGGCCCAAAGAACGAACACACAGGGTTATTTCATTTATTGTAACACTCGCATTAAAACGCTGCAATTGCTTATTTTATTTAAGATAACATTTCAACTGTTATTCATATTTAAATGTTGTTATGCTGGTAGGTTCGCCTCGAATCCGTTAACAAAACCTCGACGCCCCAAGAATCCTGAATGTATTGAGACGGAACATGAATGTTCAAAGATGATACCTTTAATCTTTGAAAAAAAAAGTCTGAAATTTATTTGGAAAAATTGTTAGTGCATGCATTTGCGTTCATTGAAATCTGCTTGAACATTTGTTAAAATATAGAGACTCATCTACTTACGAACATTCGACTTCTGACCTTTCAGAGATACGAACAAACCTGTCCGTATGTCCATTTGCCCGTTCGGACCGATAATCATAAGTTCAACCGCCGTGCAATAGATGGCGGTAGTGGCATCTGCAGAATATGAAAAACAAGTGGCATCTACATCTGCAGAACGTGAAGAACCAGTGGCATCTAAATCTGCAAAACGTGAAGAACCAGTGACATCTACATCTGCAGAACATGAAGAACCAGTGGATCTACATCTGCAGAACATGAAGAATCAGTGACATCTATATCTGCTGAACGTGAAGAAGCAGTCGCATCTACATCTGCAGAACGTGAAGAACCAGTGGCACCTACATCTGCAGAATATGAAGAACCAGACGCATCAACGTCTGCAAAACATGAAGAACCAGTGACATCTACAGGAGATTATACAACTTTTAAAGCCATTCCCCGTGTTTAGTGTACATGCCGTACAAAATGTTTGGAATCGACAGGAGTAAAGTTGGACTGACAAACAGACCCCAGGAACCAAACTCGTTCGTAAGTAGAGGAGTCCCTGCACATTAAATAACCCCATATGATGTGTTACAATAAATATAATAACCCTATGTGTCCTGACTTTGGCAACACTGTACATGTGCATGTAGGTACATACAATACTCATGGCAGGTACACACACAGGTATACACTGGTGCACACCATAGGTACTTGTCCAGGTGTATGCACACTCAGGAAGGTGTGTGTGTGTAGCTATGCGTGTACAACCCAAGGATGAACACAAATACGCGCGTACACACGACATAACACATCGGGGGCATTGTGTTGTAACGTGTGTATACTGCATTTAGTGTAACGAGGTGAGAACTGTGAAGAGACCAGGTCGAGAGTTCTCGTTCACAAGAGCGACCAGGGGAGGCATGAGTGCTGCCAGTCCGGGACGATGATTGCTACTGCTGCTGCCGTCTGTGTACAATCTCAATTGTGCGGGGCATTTTTCTAATTTGGCAAAGTTTGAGTTGCTTGACAATCGGCGTGTCGCGAACATCCGCTGTGGCGCAGACAGCACCGCGTGTCTCGTGCCGTTGACATGCGCCGCAGTGCCGGACCAGGGGCGGCCCGCTCGATTCGAACCCCCGTGGATCTTTTGCACAGCAAGCAGCGGGCGCGCAAACTGCAGGCGGCCGTGGTAGGAACGAAGTGGACCAGCCTACAATAGATTATATCATCCGTCCGTTTGTCCGTGTAGCAACATCGCCCCCTACTGCAAACACTTGGCATGACCCTACAAAAACCTTTAGACTCCGTGACGCTTTCCTGGCTAAACAAGTGTAACATTCCCTTATAATTCCCTCAGATAGCTTTTAATTAAAACTTTTAAATTAAAATTTAACTCACAGCGCCCTAAAGCCTACAGCTAGGCCTAAAGCCTCGAACTACGCCTCACACTCTCCCTTCGTATCGTCCGATTCGGTGTAGCAACATTGCCCCCTGCTGCAAACACTTGGCAGGACCCTACAAAAACCTTTAGACTCAGTGGGGCTTTCCTGGCTAAACAAGTGTAATAATACATTATGTTTATATTCTTTGGTTATTCGTTCCTACCAGCCCACCCCGCAGGGTCCTGTTAAAAGATTTCGCTCTCGTAGAAAGTGTCCCCCTTCCACCAGCAGTGGCCGCGAGCGAGAACTTGCAGAAATGCTCCTTTACACTTTTGGACAGCCCCCCCCAAACCTCCCCCGCTAGTGGCTGCATGGAAACCAATTCCGGTGTTGTGCAGATTTCGTTTTCAAATGTTCTGGCCCTCGTTTGCAACGTCAAAATGACTTGGGAGTGGGAGGGGCTTTCTGAATAGTGAGCGGGGCTGCCCATAGGATTAATAGAGCATTTTTGTAAATATAAATATGTCGTTAAACCCGCCATCAACCGACATGGCCGATTAGCAAGGTTTGTCACAAAAAAACGTGCCAATTCGTTACGAGTACAGCAACACCAGTTGTGTGTTGGAGAGTAATCCCACGACATCCACAATTCGAGTACTGTGACGTTTTCGCCAGTAATGACAACGAGCTCAGGTGACAGCCAGGAGGGGGTGGGGTGGTGGGGTTACCTGAGCAGTGGGAGTGGCCACCTCCTGGGGCATGTGAACGGGAGGCGAGGCCCTGTGTCCGGAAGTGGCGTCATAGTGCGGGGGGGGGGGGCTAGTGGCCGAGTGAGCGTGGCGATGTAAAAGTAGGGCGGGGTTTCACGCAGCGGGGGAGTGGGGTTGGCAGCTCGGGCCCCACGTGTCCCGGTTGAGACCTCCCAGAAATAGGGTTATGACCTCACACATGCGCGCGTGCGGACATTTAAACGCACACGAAACACGACAAAAAGACGCACGGGTATGCACACACAGGGACTCCTCTACCTACGAACATTCTACTTACGAAATTTCAGAGATACGAACGCACCTGTCATTATGTCCAGTTGCCTGTTCGGACCGAGAGTCGTAAGTTCAACTGCCGCGCTATAGATGATGGTGGTGGCATCTGCAGAACGCGAAGAACCAGTGGCATCTACGTCTACAGGAGATTGTACAACTTTTTAAAAGCCATTCCCCGTGTTTAGTGTACATGCCTTACAACGTGTTTGGGAATCAACAAATCGACTTGCGAACAGTCCTCTGGAACATAACTCGTTCGTAAGTAGAGGAGTCCCTGTACAACTACGCACGTGTTCACGCACCTTTCAGCCTGAACGAGTGCTGTATGCGAGCACCCATTAAAAGTGGCCCCACACGCCTTTTGTGATGGGCGTTGGAACCACCCGACCCTGACCACATCCGTCTCAGTCCATTACTGGTGTTGTTCATGATCCACAAACCAACTGCTGTCACTCAACTGCTTGGCCTGGCGGTCTCCAACCACTCACTTGGTCAATGCTGGTTGCTGAAGGCGGGTGGGTGAGGGCGGTTGTGGAGCATGGATGCGGACGCATAATACAGTACAACAGTGGATTCTGCTGTACATAGCTCCACAGCCTATAGCACCCTAAGTGGCTCAGCGGTTGAGAGTTATGACCCAGCCCGTCATTCCTTTCCGGGGTCGAGAAAATACGTACCACTTTGCGGGGGATTCAACGGCGGTTTTCCTATGAATAGACTCGTCCCCGCCATAAAGAATGTGGAATTGCCCCCCCCCACCCCACTGACTCACAGCCGTTAACGGGAGACGAGCACATGGCATCATCATCTGCCCATTTGATCGGGAACTCACTTTCACTTTTTTTTACGAGACACGCGATATTAACTTTTTATGCGGGCAAGTCATTATTGCTGACGCTTTTAGTCGGCGCACCTGGCTGATAATTCGTGGGCTATCGGCCCCTGTTGAACCCCCCGCTCAGGGCCAGCAATGGCATCAAGGCGCTGAAGAGTGCTGAGGCCGGCACTGCTGCGATTATTATACTGTATATCCTTGGGTTCCAATCCAGGTTACAGCCGGCCCTGATTATAGACCGGGTTCTCAAATGTAGCGATGAGTTAACGGTCTCAGCCCGGTCACCGGTGAGCACACAACAAAAACCATCTGCACTTAATTTGAAGTGCCAACTCTGATTATAATTAGAATATTTCGTTCGATCGTCATGCAGTTAACTTTACTCTCATGGCAGAGCGGGCGTGAAAGTGCTGCCCCTCTACTGAGTGTGGACAAGAGTGTCACTTGAAGAAGGGATCTCTGAGGTATCTCTGTGATATCCGCTTCCGTGGGCCGTTCTATAGCCGACACGCACAAAAGGCTGCTCTGCTGTGAGATTTCCGAATAGATTCTTTGCCTCGTGACGCCGATAGCAACACTGAATGACATTTTTGCGGGAAATTACGAAATAGATAATACATTGTTTATTCAACTTACTTTACGTGCTCCTGGGAGCCACTGTCATCGTAGTTACCACGAGCCACGGGTCAATCCACTGCTGGATGAAGGTTTCTCCAGCCGACTCCATCCCTTATGATCCTGCGATGTAATGAGCAGAGTTCCTCGCTCCATCTCAACGGTGGACTTTATTTTCTCACGGCTGCCACTCCATCAGTGAATTATTATTCTAGGCTAGGTGTGTACTGAGACCACCCCGTAGTGTATGGAAAGCTCTCGCTGCTGGAAAGAGGTCATAGGATAGACCCAGCAGGTGCCACGGGTTGATTGGCCTCGATGACCGGCAGATGCACAAGCTGCGTTCCCCAACTGTGCCACCTTGCTGCGTTTTAGCTGCCCGGCGCTCCGCTCGTTGTTGTGAGTGTCGCTTCTCTGCCCTCCGATCACAGCCTCCCTTCCCCCACTCCCACCACAAGCTGAGCTGCAGCACGGCTCTCTACATTTCCCGTGGTTCTGCGTGGTTGCTCACCTGGAGAAGAGTCAAGACGATTGGTAGGCGAGCAGGTGGGTCGCGTATGGTTGGGGTGAAGTGTGTAGACCGAAATAAACGCTGCAGAAGCTTCCCATCTTAAAGCCTCCCTTCACAACTACCACCCCCTCGAGTTGGTGGAGGCCCCCTTCGGCCAGCAGTGGCGTAAACGAGCAATTGTACTGCTGCGCCTCTGACCCCTTGGCACACGTTGCGTTATCCATAATACAGGTTATTTTGGGTTAGATCATGTAAATGTGTCGTTAAACCTGTCAGCACCCGACACAGCCGATCGGTAAGACTTGTCATGTAAACAAAACGTACCAATTACACTGGTCTACAGCCGAAATGCTTCCGAAATAAATGTAGTCCAACTTTACTAATTCTGGGTCACTGAGAATGAAAATGATGCTTAAAATTGTTGATTGGCTCTAGTTTCCAAGATATGCTACTGGGTCAGTATATATGACCCTTGACTTGGGAATGGTGGAGGATAAGTGAGCTTTAAAGGGAAGGGATCTCAATTTAAATGAGAAATAACTAAAATACATGTCGATTTAAAGCTTTCGTGACTGCAAGGATTCATATTCTTGGTTCTTTCGGTAAAGTCACGTAGAAGGGAAATAATACAAGTAAAACAATAAAATTCTCACGACGTTTCGGCCACAACACAATCAGCCGTCCTCAGGTGAAGAACAGAGCTGTCGGAAAGACAGTGTCTTAATGAACACTGCTAAGCTTCGCAGAGTATTTTAAACTGGGTGGGAGGAGCAGAGAGCCTTGACAAAGGAGTTTACATATCAGAGGAATTTAGCATGTTGATGACTGCAGTGTTCATTAAGACTATCTCGGCCTCGCTGTGCGCTGCGTTGCTCCGCTAGTCGAGTAGATAACCTTGCATTCAATAAACCCTCGGAGCCAGGATGAACGTCCGACTCCAATCGTCATTTATTGATTTTAACAAGGTAAAACTGGTGAGAAAACACAGATACAGCATCTGTTAGAACCCGGAAACACCAACACAATGAACACCACAGCATCAGAACATTGTCTTAGATAATAATAGATCCTGGACGGACCAGGCCCCTACATTACCACTGAACAACTACACAAGAGCACAAGCCGGTGCGTTGCGTAAAGGCACATTGTGTATTCATCCCACTGCACCCCAAATGTACAGCATTACACATAACGCTAAACTGTGGATGAGATACTTCGTCATCTTTGCTCTCAGGATCGCAACATAGCCACCTGGGCACAAGTCTGACTCGACCTACTAAATCACAAGTAACATCCACAATAAGGAAAGTTGCAGGCTTCGTTGCTAACTAGGCCTCGTATTTACCACAACAACTTAACGGTACCATAAAGGCATTTACATCACTATAACGGTCATTCCAACATTACAACAGCATTGCCAATATAAGAATATAAACAAACTTACAAACAATGCTTCTCAAAGTCCCACGATGGACAACTGTGTCTGGCTTCACTGAGACGCGATGTGTGCCGCCATCTTGACTTATCTGTGTAATGGCCGACGCCCGCGTGGTTCAGTGGAAATCTAAAATCGTAACTTCCTGGTCACGTGACCAAAATTAGCATCAAAAACAGGAAATTCCTGTGTACATACGCCCCCCCCTCCCATCTGCCGTGAGGCAAAACTCCTGCCATGAGGCAGAACAAAGACGCTGTCTTTCCGACAGCTCTGTTCTTCACCTGAGGACGGGTGGCTACTTGCGTTCCCTTCTACGTGACTTTACCGAAAGAACCAAGAATACTAAAATACATGTTTGACTGGATCTATGAATACATCTATGACTGGGTTTGGACAGTACAGTACTTGCTTTTTGAGCAAAATAATGAATGATGCAATCTGAACCTGATATTGCATAATACATGAAATGAATTGCATCATGTTATTCCGAAAAGTCATGGATGATGCAATCATAACTCGGCTTTTACATCCCTCTGCTGAACAAATTACCCTATATCAGCTCTAGAAATCATACAGTGTCGTGCTCTCTTATTTGTCAGTGTTTGATTTTGCAAAGGGACACATTTATGTTTAGCCAAAGTGAGCAGAGATGCCTCGTACTTGTGTAAACAAATCAGGTAACTTCTGCTATGTTTGTGGTGAAGTGACTTTTGCATCATAAAAGCGTAGTATAACCACTATGGTTAAGAAAGCCTATCACCTTTATTTTGGCTGCAAAAATGGAGATCAGGACAAGATGTGGGCCCCACACATATGCTGCAACACTTGTGCAACAAATCTTCGCTAGTGGTTGAAAAGGAAATCTATGCCTTTTGCAGTGCCAATAATATGGAGAGAGCCAACAGATCATATTAGCAATTGTTACTTCTGTATGGTGCCTCCAGTTGGGAAAGGTGTGTCAAGAAGAAAAAGTGGAATGTGTATTATCCAAACATTCCATCAGCTATAGGCCCAGTACCCCACGGAGAAGGACTGGCGGTTCCTGATGCACCAGAATCATTATCACTTGAGCCAGAAGAGGAAGATGATGAAACTCCTAGTGCTGAACCATCAAGGTCACATGACCCAGAATTTCTCCCATCCTCCTCCTCTGAACCCCACCACATAACACAAGGTGAACTGAAAGACCTTGTCAGGGATTTGGAACTACCCAAGAGTAAGGCAGAGCTGTTGGGCTCCAGACTCCAGCAGTGGAATCTACTGGCAGGTGTTAGGGTTTCCATGTTCCGTGATCATCAAAAGGATCTTGTTCCATTCTTCATGGAGGGTAATCTTGTAGCCTGCAACAACATCGATTGTGTGATGGCAGCCCTCAACATCCATCATGATCCAGATGAGTGGAGGCTGTTCATTGATGTTTTGCCACATAATGGCAATGTCTTGCCATCAATACCAGTTGGTCATGCAGTCCATATGAAAGAAACCTATGACATGAAACAACTTTTGAGGGACATAAACTATGACCAACATCAGTGGCAGCTTTGTGGCGATTTGAAGGTCGTTGCTCTCTTGCTTGGTCTGCAGACTGGATACACAAAGTACTGCTGTTTTATCTGCGATTGGGATAGTCATGCGAGAGATTCCCACTACATCAATATAGAATGGCCACTCCAACAGTCATTGGAGCCTGGGAGGAAAAGTGTTCAGCATCCACCACTTGTTGAATCAAGGAAGATTTTGTTACCACCCTTACACATCAAGCTGGGTCTGATGAAGAACTCTGTCAAAGCTATGGACAAAACACAAGCAGCTTTCAAGTACCTCCGTGGAAAATTTCAAAGGTTAAGTGAAGCTAAGATAAAGGAAGGTGTCTTTGTTGGTCCTCAGATTTGTGAACCTTTTCGAGATTATGCATTTGACAGTCATCTGTGTGGCAAGGAAAAGACGGCATGGAAAGCCTTCCAGTTAGTGGCAACACATTTTCTCGGAAACAACAAAGCAGACAACTACAGGGAGTTGGTGGAAAACCTCCTCAAGGCATACAAAAGCCTTGGTTGCAACATGTCACTAAAGACACATTTTTTGCACTCTCATCTAGATTTTTTCCCACCGAACTGCAGAGCAGTGAGCAACGAGCATGGCGAGCCATGTCACCAGGACATTGTAACAATGAAAAAAGCTATCTGTGGAAATGGAGCCCATCAATGCTTGCAGACTATTGCTGGACTGTGACAAGAGATGCTCCATTCCATGAATACAAGAGACAAGCCAAGAAGGGGCGAGTAAACACTGAATAAGGACTAAACTATATAATAGTTGTTTGGCTTTTGTTTAATAATACATTGTATTTATATCACCCTTTTGCTGATTGTTTTAAGTTTTACATTAACAGGAGACCTGTTATCATGTAAAGCAACCATAAACACATGAAATGACCTAGGTTTACAATTTATTAGAAACTCTATCTACACAATATACATAGACGTAAAATGTAAACTTTAATATCTTGGGAACAGTAGCCATTCAGTTGTTCTAACTGTCATATTTGAATTCAGCACATCAAAATCCATAACAAACAACACATTTCATCTCTGAAGCAGACGACGACTAAAAGAACTGTCGACCAGTGTTATGTAACTAGCTCGGCACACTGGTGTGTTGGAGAGTAAACCCGCAACATTGACAATTCCAGTAGTGTGACGTTTGGCTGGCTATCGCTTCATCAGGCCAGCTATATCGGGTGGCGGCGGGTTTACGACACATATTTACGCGATCTCATACGCAACAAAAATACCTTTACTATGGATACTGGTCGAGAAAGCCTGCTTACGAGACCGCGACGTGTTAGAGTTAGACCAACACGCGGCATTGTTGGGCAAAGAGTGCCCCCTGCTGTTATAACGCTGGCATGCCACAGAACGACTGGCGTCGGGACCACTCGTGGCTTGGTGGATGGGGTTGCGCATCTAAAAGTTACATCATTAATAATAATAATTGTTTCAAGCGTCATTCGTGCAATTGCATCTCACAGCGATCTGCAGCATCAATTAGCCGGTCCATTACGCAGATGATACAAAACAAACCCCCAACCGCTGAGATCACAAACTAAAACGGTGAATATGTTAAATAACGAGGCGCGTGTCTCCGTTTGTTTCCACCCACATAGTAAATATAAAAAAGTTTTATTTTTACTCATCCTGTCAGCCACACCGCCCTCTCTGTATGATTTTTCATTTTGGGCAGCATTGGCTTGTTAATACAGTCCAGGTAAACTCTGGACTCTAATCTAGATTTGGAGCTTTCGTGACTGCAGGAATCCATACTCTTTGGTTCTTTCAGTAAAGTCATGTAGGTAGAAATAAAATAAAATAATGCTTTATTTTATTTCTACCTACGTGACTTTACTGAAAAAACCAAAGACTGGACTCCAGTTTCGACTTTCAGCGTCTCATGGGCAGTCAGGCTGCACGACGATTGGACACTAGATTTGGTTTAGGGTTGAACTAGTACCCGTCGTCCCCTATGAACATATGGCAGTGTCACAGGCATTCGTTTCAGCAAATCTGACTCTGCTGATGTTCAATTGTGTGTATGTGTGTTGTAGCAGATACAGTAGTACAGAAAATTGAAACTATTTTTTTTACACTATGGGGACCTCATTTGCCAGCAAAAATATGATAATTGGTTCTTTACCCTTCTATCTGGCAACAAAACTGACACCTTTTTACAAGGAGTCATGTTTGCATAGACCGCAATACCTGCAGTCATAATACAAACAAAAGAACATAACTCTGATAATGTGCACTGTCCTTGAAGTTGATTGGTCCACACCCGAGACAGCTTTCCTTAGAGCCTAGTCTCATATGGGTTGGACCAGATGACGCCAAAAGGCGCACAACTCAAGGACAATGCACCATCAGAGTATGAGAGCTCGGGGTAAGCATCTACACTATGGGGACCTCATTTGCCAGCAAAAATATGATAATTGGTTCTTTACCCTTCTATCTGGCAACAAAACTGACACCTTTTTACAAGGAGTCATGTTTGCATAGACCGCAATACCTGTAGTCATAATACAAACAAAAGAACATAACTCTGATAATGTGCACTGTCCTTGAAGTTGATTGGTCCACACCCGAGACAGCTTTCCTTAGAGCCTAGTCTCATATGGGTTGGACCAGATGACGCCAAAAGGCGCACAACTCAAGGACAATGCACCATCAGAGTATGAGAGCTCGGGGTAAGCATCTACACTATGGGGACCTCATTTGCCAGCAAAAATATGATAATTGGTTCTTTACCCTTCTATCTGGCAACAAAACTGACACCTTTTTACAAGGAGTCATGTTTGCATAGACCGCAATACCTGCAGTGCACATTATCAGAGTTATGTTCTTTTGTTTGTATTATGACTGCAGGTATTGCGGTCTATGCAAACATGACTCCTTGTAAAAAGGTGTCAGTTTTGTTGCCAGATAGAAGGGTAAAGAACCAATTATCATATTTTTTTTTTATTTTGCCAGGTAAGGCCGCACTGAGCTATGGATATCTTTTAGAAGCAATTTGGCTACAAATGATAGCTCAACGAGGTGGCTTATCGTCACGTGGAAATTTACAGCAGCCAAACACTCTAAACGCGTGATGTTGATTACTAAATGTGGAGGGGGAAACTGGAGGACCCGGAGAAAATCCACGTGACCACGGGGAGAACTTGCAAACTCCAAATATACAGCAGCAGGCGTCAGGGTCGGGATGGAACCCACGACCTCCTGTATACCAGGTAAGGTAGTTAACATCTCCTAGCCACCGTGATGATGAGAGAGAGAGACACGCAAACTCCAAATATACAGCAGCAGGCGTCAGGGTCGGGATCGAACCCACGACATCCTGGGTGCCAGGCGAGGTAGTTAACATTTCATAGCCACCGTGACGATGATGAGAGAGAGAGAAACACGCAAACTCCAAATATACAACAGTAGGCGTCAGTGTCGGGATCGAACCCACGACAGCCTGTGTACCAGGCGAGGTAGTTAACATCTCCTAGCCACCGTGATGATGATGAGAGAGAGAGACACGCAAACTCCAAATATACAGCAGCAGGCGTCAGGGTCGGGATCGAACCCACGACATCCTGGGTGCCAGGCGAGGTAGTTAACGTCTCATAGCCACCGTGATGATGAGAGAAAGACACGCAAACTCCAAATATACAGCAGTAGGCGTCAGGGTCGGGATCGAACCCACGACATTCTGTATACCAGGTGAGGTAGTTAACATCTCCTAGCCACCGTGGTGATGATGAGAGAGACAAGCAAACTCCAAATATACAGCAGCAGGCGTCAGGGTCGGGATCGAACCCACGACATCCTGGGTGCCAGGCGAGGTAGTTAACATTTCATAGCCACCGTGACGATGATGAGAGAGAGAGAAACACGCAAACTCCAAATATACAACAGTAGGCGTCAGTGTCGGGATCGAACCCACGACAGCCTGTGTACCAGGCGAGGTAGTTAACATCTCCTAGCCACCGTGATGATGATGAGAGAGACACGCAAACTCCAAATATACAGCAGCAGGCGTCAGGGTCGGGATCGAACCCACGACATCCTGGGTGCCAGGCGAGGTAGTTAACGTCTCATAGCCACCGTGATGATGATGAGAGAAAGACACGCAAACTCCAAATATACAGCAGTAGGCGTCAGGGTCGGGATCGAACCCACGACATTCTGTATACCAGGTGAGGTAGTTAACATCCCCTAGCCACCGTGGTGATGATGAGAGAGACAAGCAAACTCCAAATATACAGCAGCAGGCGTCAGGGTCGGGATCGAACCCACGACATCCTGGGTGCCAGGCGAGGTAGTTAACATCTCATAGCCACCGTGATGATGATGAGAGAGACACGCAAACTCCAAATATACAGCAGCAGGCGTCAGGGTCGGGATCGAACCCACGACATCCTGGGTGCCAGGCGAGGTAGTTAACGTCTCAGAGCCACCGTGACTTGTGTAAGTTTGCTGACCAAGCATTATCAGGCAAAAGCCTCCTTAAAACATCATTCTTGGACTCAGTTGAAGCTCTCTCTCTCTCCCTTCAGGATCTTCACTCATTGTGTAGCTCTGTTGGTTCAAACCACTGCTTGTCGTGAGGGTTATATTTGACCATGACCCCGCAGGTCAATGTGGATTCGGCGAGGGCGTAGAGCATAGCAGTACGGTACAACAATGTGCATGCAGTATTGGTTTTAATCCGGTCTCAACTCCTAGCTGAGCTTTAACAGAGCTTCTGACGAGATATAGTTTGTTCATAGATAGGTATAGTTAGGTGTCGTCCATGTTACTACTGTTCAACTACTCAAACAGCATTATTATTATAATGTATACAATACGATAACGAAGTGTGTTCGGTTTAATGGCAAGTATGATTTTTTTTATAAACATTAAAGCAAACAAAAAAACACGTTAACGGTATGAGTACATTTGTTTTGAGTCAATGGTGTCTATTCAGCTGCATTTGTTCAAGGCGGCGAAGTCTGCACCGGTTTCGACCTCCGCGTGTCTCATCAGCGGTGTAAAGACGATGCCGCCGCGGCGGCGTGACACTGCGAGTGGCCACGCTGGGCCTTGGGAGAAGGGAGGGGAGGGAGAGAGTAAATAATAAAATAACTCTGTACAGAGGGGGGGAAAACCCTTAAAATAAAAATATTAATAAACATAGAGAGACAAACCTTCCTCTCTCACTCACTGCAGCAGACACGGACACACAACCCCCCCCCCCCCCCCAGAGTGATAAAGTGTTCCACGGCGGATAATACTTCACTACGATCGGACATTGTATCATCATCATCAGCAGCATAATCAGCAGCAGCGGCTGCAACCGACATGCCGAGACGAAAATCATCAGCAAAGGATGACGACGACGACGACGATGAAGATGATGATGCTTTGGAAGAAGAAGATGATGATGATGATGTTGGTGATGGCGAGGAGGACGACGACGTTGATGGTGACGATGACGATTCGATCATCCGCCGGGGCGTGAAGCGAGCCCGGCGAGACGACGGGCGAGCGAGCGGCAGCGGCGGCGTCATCATCGTCACCTCGTCGTCATCGTCACCGACACCACAGCCACCATCATCATCATCACCACCACCCGCACCACCATCGTCGTCCTCATCATCATCCCCATCGACATCATCATCATCAGCAGCAGCGGCAGTGGCGGCAGCGGAGCGGACGGCAGCCAACGTCGTCGTCGGCAGCAGCAGCAGCGTGAGTAGCGAGACGCCTCCAACTTGACACAGACGCGGGAGGGGACGACGACGACGACGATGATGATGGAGCCCCGGGGGGGGACGGGGGACAAAGGGACCGGCAAAGACAAAGGACGACGCGGCGACCCCCTTCGTGTAATCCACTGCTGGATGAATACCCTTTACCCCCCACCACCCCCCCAGGTCAGAGACAAAGATCTCCCCCCCCCCCATAACAGACTGTTGGGGCTGTGCGGCAGGGAGGGTGGTTCAGCAACCACGCCCGGCCGCCTTTGTCTTCCCGGTGGCGGGCGATGTTTACACCGCCGCACCAGGCTACTAATTTTGAGGCTAAGCCGACCTAGTGGGGGGTGGCCCAGGACGGGTTCGCTTGGGGTTGTCGGTGGCCGTGAGCGGGAATCGAACTCGGGAACCGCTGCCCAGCGGGTGTCGTCGTGGGCGCAGCGCGCTAACCGCTGCGCCACCGCCCCCCCACCAGCACCCCCCCACCACCACCCCCCCACCACCCCCCCACCACTCCCCCACCACCACCCCCCCACCACCACCACCCCCCGCCACCACCACCCCACCACCACTCCCCCCCCACATCCCACCACCCCCACAACCCCCCCACCACCCCCCCGCCACCACCACCACCCCCCCGCCACCACCCCCCACCACCACTCCCCCCCACATCCCCCCCACCACCCCCCCTACACCCCCCCACCACCCCCACCACCACCACCCCCCCACCACCACTCCCCCCCACATCCCCCCCCACCACCCCCCCACCACCACCCCCACCACCACCACCCCCCCACCACCACCCCCCCACCACCACTCCCCCCCACATCCCCCCCACCACCCCCCCTACACCCCCCCACCACCCCCACCACCACCACCCCCCCACCACCACTCCCCCCCACATCCCCCCCCACCACCCCCCCACCACCACCCCCACCACCACCACCCCCCCACCACCACCCCCACCACCACCACCCCCCCACCACCACTCCCCCCACATCCCCCCCCACCCCCCCACCACCCCCCCCACCACCCTTCAATGTAAAGTCCGAGTGAGGAGCTGAGAGAGAGTTGTGCACGCGCAGCACGAGGTTTGTGGAGTGAGGGAAGCAGCGGGGAGGCAAGAGAGATGTACAGCCGCGTCTTGTTCATTTGACCAGGTAAGGCCCCAACTCAGTTGCGTGGTGGCCCTATTTTTAAGATGCGAGCTGGCTATCGCAAATGATAGCCCCCAACAAAGTGGGATGGTCGTCATGTGGACAGTTATAGCAGTGAAATGCTCTAAGCGCGTGTTGTTGTTGATTACTGAATGTGGAGGGAAAATCCGGAGATAAATCCACACGACCAGGGGAAGAGAGACACCGAAAACTCCAAATATACAGCAGCAGGCGTCAGTGTTGGGATCGAACCCACGACCTCCTGTAGACCAGGCGAGGTAGTTAACATCTCATAGCCACCGTGATGATGATGATGAGAGAGACAGGCAAACTCCAAATACACAACAGGCATCGTCAGAGTTGGGATCAAACCCACGACCTCCTGTATACCCGGCGAGGGAGTTTTCCCTGCACATTTAGTAACCAACATCACGCGTTTTTGAGTATTTGGCTGATGTAGTGAATGCCCACAGGATGATAATGCGCTCCGTTGAGAGCCAGGTCGCTTCTTTAAAAAAAGCTACACACAGCTCAGTGGGATCCTTGGCTGGTAAAAACAATACAAATAGTGCAGTAGTTTAGATAAGACCGAAGTGCAGTGAAATGAGAGAGATAGCGCGGTGTGCAAGAACAATTGTTGACGTGGTGTGTGCCTAATACAGGTTTATTTGGGGTTAGATCGCGTAAATGTGTAAATGTGTCGTGAAACCCGCCACCACCCGACACAGCCAATTAGAAAGATGTGTCACGTAAACAGAACGTGCCAATTCGTTACTCGCACAGCAACGCCGGTTGTGTGTAGGAGAGCTTTGTTAACGTGACAACCCTCACTCATTGTCTGTGTCGGGTGGCGGCGGATTTAACGACACATCTTTATAGTTACGCGATCTACCCCCCCCCCCACAAAACACTTTGTTACGGATATTGCTGTCTCGTTATGCCTATTTGTGAGATTGTATTACATTATACTGGTAGGAACCTCCTGGTTACACCAGCCCACAGGGGATTATTGTGTCCGTCCGTCCGTCGTGCATCAAAACATGTGAGGGGTGGGGCTGGGTGGAGAGGAAAGGGTGGGGAGGGTGGGGCTGGATGGGGGGTGGGAGGGGGTGGGCTGGGAGGGGTGGGGCTGGGGCTGGGTGGAGAGGGGCTGGGTGGGGAGGGGCTGGGTGGGGGGTGGGGCTGGGTGGGAGGGGGGTGGAGGGATGGGGCTGGGTGGGGAGGGGTGGGGCTGGGTGGGGGGTGGGGCTGGGTGGGAGGGGGGTGGAGGGATGGGGCTGGGAGGGGAGGGGCTGGGAGGGGAGGGGCTGGGGCTGGGTGGGGAGGGGCTGGGTGGAGAGGGGCTGGGTGGGGAGGGTGGAGCTGGGTGGGAGGGGGGTGGAGGGGTGGGGCTGGGTGGGGAGGGGCTGGTCACCCCCTGGTGCCCTTATAAAACTCAACGTTTAACCTGCTCACGCCGGCTTGTGCCCGCCCTCACAGTCGGGCATATTTGCGGAATACACCACGCCGCCGTTGACCCTGCAGGCCATTGACCGAGCAACCCGACGTTCCTAGCAGCTCCCTCCGCAGGAGGAATGTGTTCATCCCACTCCTCTCTCTCTTTATTCGCGAGTCCTGGGGCCCCTTTTGCAGCGACTTTCGTGACTTATTTTTGCTGTCTTCGCTTTGTGCCCAGCACCGCCACCCCGAGCACTTTTTCCCGACATCCGAACGACGCAGACGTCAATAGACACTGTGAACAGGTTTCTAAAGTCTCTCATCTGCGTTGCTTTACTGATTCACTCGGACCGGAGACTTTGCAAAGCTTGTGCGCAGCGGAGGGCAGCGCCGTGTAAGTGCACATATCGGTGAAGTATGGTCACATATCGGTGAAGTATGGTCACATATCGGTGAAGTATGGTCACATATCGGTGAAGTATGGTCACATATCGGTGAAGTATGGTACATATTGCCACCACCACCACAACGCATACAACCACGACTACGGGCGTGGGCGGCCTTCATCCAGCAGTTGATTGATCATGTCTGATTGACAGTCTACAATACAGTCTATATAGTGTACAATACAGTCTATATATATATAAAACAGTGTACAATGCAGTCTATATAACAGTGTACAATACAGTCTATATAGCAATACAGTCTATATACACTGTACAATACAGTCTATATATATAAGTGTACAATGCAGTCTATATAACTGCACAATACAGTCTATATACAGCATACAATACAGTATATATAACAAGACAGTCTATATACAGTGTACATTACAGTCTATATAACAATACAGTCCATATAACAGTACAGTCTATATATAACAGTGTACAATGCAGTCTATATAACAGTGTACAATGATGTCTATATAACAATACAGTCTATATATATAACAGTGTACAATGCAGTATATATAACAATACAGTCTATATAAGTGTACAATACAGTCTATAAGTTAACCACCGCCAAAAGACAGTAATGACACGTAAATGTTGTATTTTTTACAAAACGATCGCTTACGATTCGTTAATGTTTGATATTTGATTCGTAGTGCGTTTAAATTGTATAAAGTTATATGAATAAATACCGCGCGTTGCTATGGTGACGGTACAGTATACTGTACAGCCTCGCGACACAGACCACGCAAACTTACACTAAATTAACGTCTATTTTGTTTAAAGATATATAAATTAACATTTTTCTCACACAAAATTACAACTGTACGCAGTGCCGAGCGCGCAGTGTTGAGTACAGTGGTGGTGCATGGGGCCAGCGTTGACGCGAGGATTTTGGCCTTTGCAGGTTATAAACTTAGCAAGCTGCTAAGTTAGCAAGCTGCTAAGTTTATAACCTCGCGGTTGCTATTGTGTTTGTCTTCTCTGCAAGTTTGTCTATTTTAATGTGTTTCGTTTGATTTCCGCGTGGTGCAAAGACGACACCGCCACGACCGTGTTCGCGTGCCGTCTTGCCACTGTATGTGGGCATTGCCACCCGTCTCGTATTTTGCGGAACGCTTCTAAGCGTCCCCATTACTTTTAAGTAGGAACCCACTGTTTCCACCAGCCCACAGGGGATTATTGTGTCTGTCCGTCGTGCAGGGAGGGGCTGGCTGGGTGGGGCTGGGTGGAGAGGGGTGGGTGCGGAGGGGCTGGTCACCCCGTGGTGCCCTTATTAAACTCAACGTTTAACCTACTCACGCCGGCTTGTGCCCACCCTCACAGTCGGCCATATTTGCGGAATACACCACGCCGCCGTTGACCCTGCAGGCCATTGACCGAGCAACCCGACGTTCCTACCAGCTCCCTCCGCAGGAGGAATGTGTTCCACTGTGATGCTGGTGTACCATTGCCATACTTCACCACGCTGGGTGCCCCATGCACACACATTCTTATAGGCTACCTTAAATGTTAAATATATATCAGATGCGACATTTTGGGCAATGGGCCTTGTGCACCACTGCCAACGCTGCGTGTTGGCAACGGAGGGCAGTGAATGGAAGTCCACTGCTTTACTTGTACTATACGTCTTTATACACCGACGCGTCTGTAGGCTCTCATCCAGCAGTGGATTGGCATAGGGATGTACAGTCTACAGGTAGTGTATGCACTACAACGCATATCATTGTGAAGCTCCTCGCTGAGACTCACGGCTCGTTTTCAGCAAGGGTTTGTGCATTTTGGGCGCCGGGTCACGCAATTCCTGTTGTGAAATAAACCCAAGCGGAGGGTAGGTGAATTTTAAATAATTGTCCATCAGTTAAATCCTCTGTAACAGCAGGTGTGGGTGAAGTATGTCCAAACAGCCTCCACGAGTTTAACACGAAGGCTTTCGCGACCAATATTATTCATAATCAACGTTTTTGGGTTAGATCGCGTTATTTATAAATGTGTCGTAACCCTCCACCACCCGACACGGCCAATCAGCAAAAAAGTGTCACGTTGACAAAAGACAAATAGTTCACTACTTTAGCCCACTGGTGTGTTGAAGCGTGAATCCACAACATTTATATTTTTTGAGTACGACGTTTCGCTGGTATTTAAATCCAGCATCATCGGGCAATTCGCAAGAATGGTGATGCCCTCACTTGCTCCCGGTCTTAAATAGAGCAGCAGCAGGGTGACGTCATCATTTAACTCACGAGCGGCACGGTGTGGGGGAGGAATTAATCCAGCAGTGGATTGACAACAATTCCCAGTCTCTGACCTGGCCATTAATGGGTGACCGGGGAGAGAGCCAGGGGACAGACACCCAGACCTAGGGCTAATAAAGCCACGAGGTCAGCATTGCTGCTAAGTGTCTCTGACCTGGCCATTATGAAGCAGTATACTCCACCTCAAAGACAGCTTCAAAATAAATAAATCCAACCCATAAAGCCAAAAATACATTTGGGTTGTTTAAATAACATAAAGCGGGCATTGTTATGTTAACTCTTTGTCATCTTCATAACAATAATGATCTTGATTTGAAGCTTTCGTGACTGCAGCAATCCATACTTTGGTTCTTTCGGTAAAGTCACGTAGATAGAAAAAATAATGAAAAGAACACGACGTTTTGGTGGCAACAATTTCAATCATTGGAAGGACGTGATAAACCACGTCAAGTTTTAACTGCTGTGATTTTCACTCACCCACCCGTGCTGTTTTCGTTTACTAATTCAAGCTCATTGACATGCTAATTTCTCCAGCCCCCACCCGTCCCTGCACGCCACAACCCCCCCCTCCCGTGCCTATATAAAGCCACAACAGCAGATCATTCTTTCTCACCTGATGACGGACGCTTGTGTTGCGACCGAAACGTTGTGTTCTTTTATTATTTTTTTCTATCTACGTGACTTTACCGAAAGAACCAGAGAGTAACAATAAAGATGTTGGGATTTATATAGCGTTGTCGTCCATTCCGTGCAAATTGCATCTCGCAGTTGCTGGGGAACCGCAGGCAAGCTGGAAGGCAGCAGCCAGGCGGTGACCTGGCGCTATCAACAACTGCCCAAGCTCTGCAGTGCTCTTTTTATCAAGATGTTTTCAGGCAATAATTGGAAAAGTTCATGCTTTTTGCCACCTTTGCTCGTGCTACTTCACGAATCGGCCCCATCGTTGTGTGCATTGTCTCCTTTGATCCTGCAGAGTCTCGAAGGTGCAAAGTTCAGGGGGCAGCTGCTGATATGCGGAGCCACCAACTGGGATCTGGTTGGGCGGCGGGAAGTGCCTAAGCAACAAGGTCTCCCAGATGCTCCCCCCCTCACCTTCACCCCCCCCCCCCAAACCAACCACACTTTCACATCTGATTCTCCATTTCCACTAATGGGGGGCTCTTGTTCACTGCAAGGGACTGGAAAAATCCCTCTTCCTTAAATATATCAAGAACCGCTGGAAGGCAGCTGTGTCAACTGTACTTGTGAGTCCTAACGAGAGCGAAACCAGTCTACAGTTGTCTTTGTTTCACTGCTGCTGACTGGAATGGACACATTTTCTCAACTCATTTGGTCGGTGATGTAAAACCACAAAATGGTCACACGTTCAGTTATTTTGAGCCGGTGGTCTAGGCTCTAGAGCTTTTGCACATTGAATGTTGCACACCTCTGTGTGTTGTTAAATAGACACATTTAAGTGTGTCTGTGTGTGCTGACGAGGAGCTGGTGCATCTGCCAGTCATCTCAGTCAACCCATGGCACCTGCTGGGTCTGTCCCGTGACCCCCTGTCACGTGGCCTCAAAGTGCACCTGGCCTGGCACAGGCACCGTGGTGACATTACTGTCACTTAGTGGCGAATGGCGTGTGTTGGTATATTGGTGTTGGTGCGAGGAGCTGGTAACCCTGCCACGTTAAATTCAGTGACCAACGGACTAGGGAGAGAACATCTTAATTCAAAATAAGCATGCACTGAGGGGACGAGCGTCCATCGTATTCCCCGGCCCAACCCAAATCGGTGGAGCAGGAGACTGACACCACATTCTCGGGGAGTCGCCAGAAGCAATAGGCAATTTCTAGAGCAGGCCACATGGAATTTCAGATTGCTCGCTGGTGAGGAGAGGTCGTGTTCTTCCTCTGTTGGGAGCTAGATTGTTACTGCCTAGACCTCTGTGGGAGGCAAGGAGGTCTGGTGGATTGGTTCTGACTAATAGAATAACACAAGAGGTGAATAGTCCTCTACACAGGGCAAAATGCAATGCAGCAACAGTGAGTAGCTCTTCTGAATAAAATAATGAGGGTATCAGAGTTTGGTGTTGGGATATGGGAAGCTGTGAGTCCTGAGCCAATGCAGACTTCCTTCCCCATCAACAGGAGGTGAGCAATGGTGGTCAATAAATCTTTATTATTACGTGCCAATATTGCCCTCAATAAAGTAGGCATCGGTGCACATTACAGCAGAAATGGAACGGTCCAGGGGCACTAGATGAATATTTGAAGAGGGATGAATCAGATGCCTTCTATGACCTCTTGTCCCAGGTGTTGGCTAAAGTGGCCCTTCGGAATACAGTCATCTTATTAGGTGACTTTAATGCTCGACCGGGTCATGACACGAGCACTAGGGGTGAGATTGATTGCAAGGCATGGGTCAGATCAGTTCAACGATAATGTTAGCAGGCTGATAGATTTCTGTGCAGTCCATGGGCTTGTAATGGCTAACATATTGTGTAATTGGATGTATGTTGGATCACACCAAGAAAAAACTACTGGACTGTGTAGTGGCTCATGGCCAACAGCGGCGAATATTTGAACCGGTGCTGGGCCTTCCCTGGGTTGACTCAGCCTTAAATGAATAACTGGTGTGATGTGTAAGCATCAGCACTGGGGAGACAAAGGTGGTCCGGCATGGTGTTGGCCACACCATCCCCTCAAGTGCCGTGCCAGCCTTCAGAGGTGTTTGCCGCTAACAGCTCTCGCCCCAACAGCCCGTTAAAGGCGACACAGAGAATCTTTGACTTTGTTAAGTATACGAATGTTTGTGTCTGTATCTACCGGCTGTCTATGTGTATTATACGAGTGTCTGTGCGTGCTTCAGCATGTTTTCCTCTGTGTCTGCGAGTATATAGCTGTATGAGTCTGTTTACATCTTGGTTTTTGCAGCTGCATTCCGGAATTTGGGCCAGAACCTGTGGGCCCCTCACCGCTACGGAAGTCTCCGTGACATTGCTGTGAGCCGTGTCATCACGGGCCCGTGTGCAGCTCACAGCCTCCTCATCTCCACACGAGGGCTCGTGTACAGTTGGGGTGACGAGCACACGTGTGACATACACAAAGACAAAGATCCCTCCCGTATAGCCTTCACAGACTGTTGGGGCAAGTGCTGTTAGCGAGCACCTATAAAGGCCGGCACAGCACGCGAGGGGGGTGGGTGGCTAGCAACATGCACGAACGCCTTTGTCTCCCGAGTGGCGATGTTTACACACCGCACCAGGTACTCAATTGAGGCTGAGTCGATCTAGGGGAGACCCAGTACTGGTTCAGATAATCATCACTGGTGTTGGCCATGAGCAGGAATCAAATTCGGGTCACTGGGTTCGTAGTGCAGTACGCTAACCACTACACACACACACTCGTACAGTTATAGATATTCACAAATCCACACGGATACAAAGGCACTTTTACGCACAGACTTAGACATAATGCACTGCATGCATGCAGGCGCACATGCATTGTTGGGATGAGTTTTAGAGGAAAACATTTCTAATTTCGCAATTACGAGGACAATTAAATATATTTTTCAGAACATCATTTTGCATTCATGTAAAATGTCTTTGTACTAACAACAGTGACATCACCTTTACTAAAAAAAAGCACAAAAGTGGCGGCATATTAGTGACGTCACTTCAGGTTTCTCAGATTAATCTGAATCGATGTAAAATTTCATATCTAGGCCTTATTTTGAATTTTGTTTATATTCACAGTAGTCTCTCGATTATCAATGCTAATGTCAGAGAGGATGGACACAGATAATTCAACATCGTGGATAATCAAAAATATAAATTTTCCGTGGATGTCTATGCCAAAAAACCACTAACATAGGTAAAGTTAATAAAATACTCTTTCTATTTATAACAAATACGAACGATCGATGGACCGATCGATGCGCGTGCACGGTAATAACACTTTCCTGCTCCCGCACAGAAGACTCATGCCCATTAAGTGGATGACAGCAGCAGAACCATGCCAATCAGAATCACGTGGATTTCGGATTAACCGGAGCAACATATTTGTTCAGTTAAAGCACGTGACTTGTAATTAACGTTTCCTGGAATAACAATGTATAACTTTTTAGATTATTAATTTGGGCGTAAGGGAGAATCCACGAGTTATTCATTTATGTCAAAATTTCATGTGCGCGGTTAATCAGCAAATCGGATAATCCGCACGCGGATAATCGAGATTCTACTTTATATTAAAAAATCAGGAGCAAATTCCTAGTAATAATAGTGAAATACTTCAAATCTTATTATGATTACACTTATTTAGCCAGGAAAGCCTCACTCAGTCTGAATACTTGTTCAAGAGGGTCCTGCCAATTTTTACGCAGAAGGGGATGATGATGTTTGCTGTGTAATCCTAATTGAGTAATTTTCCGGTATTTTGTTCAATATTGGGATGTTTCGTCAGCAATGGGTTACATTGTATGTTATTTTAGCCACTCCAACAGCCTGTGTGTCTTTAGAGAAGGACCTTTGTCTATTTTGTGTGTGTGTGCGCACGCATCTAAGTGCTCGCTAACAGCACTCGCCCCAACAGTATGTTAAAGGTTTTAGGGGGGATCTTGTGTGCCCCATGGGGGAGCGGTAGTGTAGCGATTAACACACTGCACTATGCATCTGGTAACCTGAGTTCTGTTCCCGTTCAAGACCAATACCAGTGCAGAATATTTGAACTGGTTCAGGGCCTCCCCTAGGTCACCTCAGCCTAAAATAAGTATCTGGTACGGTAGGTAAACATGAGCACTGGGGAGACAAAGGCAGTCGGGCATGGTACTAGCCACCCATCCCTTGTGCACCATGCCAGCCTTCATAGGTGCTCGCTAACAGCACTTGTCCCCAACAGCCTGTTAAAGCTATACGGGGATCTCTGTATTTACCTTTGCAGGGCGGGGAGAGAAAGGGCAGCTGGGTCACGGAGACACATGCCGTGTGGACGTCCCTCGAATCATCGACACGCTCAAGGAGTGCGTGATCGTGGACGGGGCTTGTGGGAGGAGTCACACGCTGTGTCTCACAGGTGAGCTCACCTGTGCTCTCACATCCTCACCACCTCACCTGTGAGTGCAGTTAAAAGCCAACGGATCCCTGTCAGGTTAGTCACGTGTCCCCGTCGTGCGGCAGGTCACCCGCTGGTAACATTGCGGTAACAACCATTGAATTGTTACACGCCCACCCTCCTCTCCGACCCCGCCCCTGGTTGTGAAACTCCCCACTGGTGCTCCCCCCTCTGCCCCCCCCTCTCTGCCCACCCCTCTCTGCCCACTCCCTCTCTGCTCCTCAGCTGTGGAATTCCCCACTGGTGCCCCCGCCTCTGCCCCCCATCTCTGCCCACCCCTCTCTGCCCACTCCCTCTCTTGCCCCCCCTCTCTGCCCACCCCTCTCTGCCCACTCCCTCTCTGCCCCCCCTCTCTGCCCACTCCCTCTCTGCCCACTCCCTCTCTGCCCCCCCAGCTATGGAATTCCTCACTGGTGCCCCCCCTCTCTGCCCCCCCACCCCCCCCCCCAGCTGTGGAACTCCCTACCGTCAACCCATACGGTTTACCTCGTATTCTTGTACAGGGAAATTGAGTTTTCAGGTCCATACTGCGTACAGCTGTTTCAATACGGGCAAAGAAAAATCGATCTTAAAAGTCTATTTTTTGTGTTTCTCTCTTGTGATGGGACTTTGTAGGACGAATGTTGACATTTATAAGGGCACGGGGTAACCAATAAGGTCTGAGTTGGTCTGTAATAAGGGGTTGTCAGGTATGCTCCTAAGTCCCAACTAAAACACATTTTAAAGAAATCAAAAAGATTCCTTATATTTGGCATTGCACCTCTCTGGCCCAATTTCTATTCCCACCAAATTCGTTATTATCTTCGTCCTTTTCACGCACGGCACCTTGACACATTGTGAAAGACGCCCGATAAAGTGCATACTATGATTTTTACGCTGCCGGGTGGACAAAGGCAGACAAATAAAAAACATTTAAAATAGAAACTTGCCCCATTGGTCAACTGCCGTGCCGAGATATTGGACCACACCAGCTACATATCGATTAAATGCAAGTCCAGCTTTCTGACCATTTCTTCACTGTGGTAGCATCTCCTCTTTCCTGAGTAATTATCACACGAAAAAACCCTTGAGATGTTCTGCATGGGAGGCACTGTATTCATAGTAAATGGTGATGCTAATGCTGGTGATGACGACAACGATGATGATGGTGATGATGATGATCCGCTGGCGTGACCTCAGACACGGGGACCGTGTATGCGTTTGGAGAAAACCGTCTTGGGCAGCTGGGTCTGGGAAACCAAACGGATGCCGTGCCAAGCCCAACGCAGGTAACGTCAGCACTTTACATTTATAAGTGTGTGCGTGTGTGCGTGTTTTGGCACATGCCCAACCACCACATGCCTAAGGAGCTTCTGTTTGACCAGATAGAGGGAGCTAAACGAGCACGACACGGGCTAGAGAAGAGATGGACTGATGCGGTATGGGAGGATGTGGAGCTGAGTGGACTTGCTGTCAAGATCGGCCTCGATGGAGGAGGCTCGTGAAGGACGCTGCTGGACAGTTGGAGGCAGTCGCCCTCTAACAATAACGGAGGGCAGAGAAATGATGCTCACAACATCGAGAGGAATTTCGGGTGGCTAAAACGCAGCAAGTTGGCACAGTAGGGGGCACAGCTGGTTCATCTGCCGGTCATCTCAGTCAACCCACGGCACCTGGGTCTGTTCCGTGGCCTCCTGTTAGCGAGCCTTGGACACTTCACATGGCTTCAAAGTGCACCTGGCTTGATACAGGCGCCTGTGGTAACGTCACCGCCACTTAGAGGCGAATGGTGGCTGTTGTTGGCACAGTGGGGAGTACAGTTGGTGCATCTGTCGTGCCATCTCAGTAAATCCATAACACCGGGATCTGTCCCGTGACCTCCTGGGTCTGTCCAGTGATCTCCTGCCAGGAAGCCTTCCACGCTAGACGTGACCTTGAAGTGCATGTAGCCTGGCACAAGCGCTGTGGTGAAATTACCGCCACTTGGTGGGAAATGGTGTTGTATATTATCATTATTAATAATAATAGATTTTTGGGTGATGCCAGGCAATAATCTGACTAAATTGTGTAGTAAAGACCCTCCACCACCCTACGCGGCCAAGAAAATGTAATTGTCGAATGTACAAGTGTTTAGTATGCCAATTATTATCGTTTCAGATCACCGGCAAGTGTAATAACACTCTCACAGGCAAATGTAGTAATCGGGTATGAGGTGTCGTTTAACTGCACTGGTCATGATTAGGACAAGATTCAGGATTGTATTGTGACTTCCTGGCTTCTGACTTCCTGGATGCTGGGTGGTGGAGGGTTCTTAATGACACAAATATGGCAAGACACAAATATGGCCTCGTGCAAAAATATATTCTAAAACTGCACATTGTTTCATGTTTTCCACTCTTGACTTATTCTGACTTCCCAGGCCCTGTCACAGTGAGGTTTGATGTACTTGATCTTTACAATGTACTACTATTTAAACACATTCCTGCGGAGGGAGCTGGTAGTAACGTTGGGTTGCTCGGTCAATGGCCAGGGTCAACGGCGGCGTGGTGTATTCCGCAAATATGGCCGACTGAGGGCGGATACAAGCCGGCGTGAGTAGGTTAAACGTTGAGTTTTATAAGGGCACCACGGGGTGACCAGCCCCTCCCCTCCCCACCCAGCCCCACCCCTCCCACCCCCCACCTAGCCCCACCCTCCCCACCCAGCTCCTCCCCACCATCCCCACCCAGCCCCTCCCCACCCTCCCCTCTCCATCCAGCCCCACCCTCCCCACCCAGCCCTTCCCCACCCTCCCCTCCCCACCCAGCCCCTCCCTCCCCACCCAGCCCCTCCCTGCACGGCGGATGGACGGACACAATTATCCCCTGTGGGCTGGTGTAACCAGAGGTTTCTACCAGTACTATTGAGTATATTACCATGTAAAGCCCACTGCGCAGTATAGCTCTTTTTCAGAAGTGACCTGGTCTCAAAAGATAGCTCAACGAAGTGGCTTATAATGTAGAAACTTATAGCAGCCACATTTCTTGAAACGCACGTTGATTTTAAGTGTGGAGGGAAAAATCAGAACGCCTAAATAAAAATCCACATCACCATAGGGAGAACATGCAAACTCCAAATATACAGCAGCAGGCATCAGGGTCGGGATCAAACCCACGACCTCCTGTAGACCAAGCGATGTAATTCACATCTAGCCACTGGGGCGCCCTGTATTGATAATATGAGTAGAGAGATGCAGTGGGTTCGATCCCGACCCTGTGATTTAGAAGTAAGCGTCTATACAAAAAATTAAGAAGCTGTTAAAGTGCGTGTGACAAGGTCCCATCCGTGAACAATACAGGAAAATGATTGTTAGACAATGGGTGCGAACGGTTAACTTCCTTTCCCCTGCCACTCATCCCCCTGCATCCCCCCGCCCCCCCTACCCACCCCCCCTGGCCCCCGCCGCGTGCAGATAGTCTACAGCGGGAGGCAGGTTGTGAAGGTGGCTTGCGGTGCGGAGTTTAGCGTCTTCATCGACTGCGACGGGAATCTCTTCTCCTTCGGCTGCCCAGAGTACGGACAGCTCGGTACGGCCACGCCACAAGTGGGGATCATTGCGGCACTCCCTGGGCTCTTACCGGCAGCTCAGTTCACTTAAGTTTATTTTGAAGTACCCTGTGAACTAAGAAGCTCTCGTTGAATCGGGTTTCATCAGCAAAAAGCATCGGTTCCCTGCCACGCATAAGATAATGGTCGCAAGGAAAATGGCAATAAAAACAAATACGTGAGAAAAAAATGGCAAAAAATAACGTAACGTAGCATCCTACCAACATGCCAACCGAGACGCTGCGGTTGTAACGGTTATCACGCCGGACTTACGATCCAGAGATCACCGGTTCAGGTGTAAACGATGCCGCAAAGTTTATGCAAATCCTCAACCCCTCAATCCCCCAACGCTTCTATCCACCCGCAATGGGCCCACCACGTTTAGGCGGCGGCGGTAGTGGGGTAAAGCGTGGGGCACTCCCAGCCTCTTACAAGACGCGTGGCCAGCGTGGAAGAGTAGGCCAAAACACCCTCTCGAGTGGCTGTTTATAGTTGCCCCTACTACCAGCAGTGCTCCACTTTCATATGTGTACGTGGAGGTCAGCCTATGACCGTATCACTCGGGATGCAGTCAATCTCGTCAGATTCTCAGAAGCTAAGCTGGCTTGAGCCTGGATAGGGCTTGGTTGAGCGATTGCAATGAACACAACTGGTGGACTTTTTTTCTTCCCAGGGGGCGAAAAATCTGTTGTTGCATTATACTTCTACGCTATCACGTCTATGTTGACTTCACCTACCTGCACTGACCAGCGCAGTGAAGTATGGTCAAATTACTCCCACGTCACGTGTGGCCCTCATCCAGCAGTGGCTTTATAAATCACTGTGAGTGTAAATGTACACATATGGTACAGTGCCAAAATGTCACTCAAAGTAATTAAGTGCCCCAATATATCAGTGTCTTCATACTGTGCGTGTGTGTTACCGATGGTTGGAGCAGGTCGTGTAGCAGTTAGCGTGCTGCACTACCAACTCGGCGACCCGAGTCCAATCCCGCTCACGGCCAACACCAGTGATGATTATCTGAACCGGTCCTGGGCCTCCCCTAGGTCGACTCAGCCTCAAATTAGTACCTGGTGCGATGTGTAAAACATTTCCACTAGGTAGACAAAGGCAGCCGAGCGTGGTGCTGGCCACCTACCCCCTCGTGTGCCCTTTTGGCCTCCATAGGTGCTCGCAAACAGTACTTGCCCCAACAGTCTGTTAAGGCTAGATGGGGAATCTTTGTCTTTGTTACCCATGGCTGGAACGGTGGTGCAGTGGTTAGTGCACTGCACTTTTTCCTGAATTCGATTCCTGACCACTGCTAATATCAGTGGCCAATGACATCTCAACTTGTCTTGGGACTCCCCAACGCGGTGGTGAGATGATAAATCCCTCACCCGGAGGTCGTGGGTTCGATCCCAACCCTGACATCTGTATATTTGGAGTTTGCATGTTCTCCCCATGGTCATGTAGATTTTTTTCCGGGTCCTCAGTTTTTTCCCTCCACTTTTAGAAACAATTATTTTGAGTATTTTTGGCTACTATAAATTTCCACGTGATGCTAAGCCACTTCGTTGCGCTATCATTTGTGGTCAGGTGAAAAAGAGCGATATCGCTCAGGGGACCTTGCCTGGAAATATAAAACATAATTTCATTGTTTTAGATCAACTCAGCCTCATCATGAACCTGGCCACACCATTCCATATTTCTTAGGTTCTCGATAAATATCACTCTGCCCTCCAGCGGTGCTCGTGGTTACAAGAGGGATCTTCGTCTCTGTGTTCAGGCCACAACACAGATGGGCGCTACATCGTGCGGGCGCAGAGGATAGAGTTTGTGTGCGAGCTCGCTCCGCGTCGACTGGCGAGATTCATCGAGAAAACGCGCGATGGGCAGGTGCTCACTGTGCGGGGCGTGGTGATACGAGACGTGGCATGTGGGGCCAACCATACGGTACGTGTGTGTGCGTGTCCCGCTCATGGCCAACACTGGTAACGATTATCTGAATTGGTCCTGGGCCTCCCCTAGGACAGCCTCAAATTAGTACATGCGGTGTGTAAACTTCGTCACTGGGGAGATAAAGATGGTTGGGCGTGGTGCTGGCCAACCACCACCTCGTGTGCCGTGCCGGCCTTCAAAGGTGCTCACTAACAGCACTTGCCCCAACATTCTGTTAAGGCTATACAGGGAATCGTTGTCTTTATGTGCATGATTTACCAGTTCATGACCAGCTCAGATTTGGCAGTGGAGGTGTCACATAAAATCATTCGAGCAGCAGTGTCTATTCATCGGTTGTCTAATGCTGTGTGGCAGCTGCCTGGCCTGTCGCTCGACACGAAGCTTCTGGTCTTCTCGGCCATAGTCATGCCCTCCCTTCTCTATGCTTGCGAGACGCGGACCCCTTTACAGAAACATCTGTGCCAGTTTGAAACATTCAGGGCAGGCTTGCCTACGATCCATCCTGGGTGTAACCAGGGTGTAACCAGGATGGATTGTGTGTCTCAACAGTGAACTCCTCCAGCAGGCGAGGATACATTGGCTTGGTCATGTAGCCCGCATGCCCAGTCACGACATTTCCTAAGCAGCTTCTGTTTTGCTGGATAGAGGTGGCGAAACGGTTTTGGCGTGGGCAAGAGAAGAGATGGGCTGATGCGGTATGGGACATTTTGGAGCTGATTGCACTTGCCGATAACCGGCACCAGTGGTGTTCAGATTGGCCACCGTGGAGGAGGCTCGCAAAATATGTCACGAGGCAGTCGGAGGCATTCGCCCTCTACTAACGAAAGAGGATGGAGGTTGTGATCTGCTAACCTAGTATACACACTTGTTTGTACTTAGACCATTAGGGGTCGACCCTAATGCATGCACTGCGTACGCGCAGATCGCGCTGGACACGCGGGGCCGCGTGTTCACGTGGGGTTTCGGAGGCTACGGCCGCCTGGGCCACGCCGAGCAGAAGGACGAGCTGCTCCCGCGCCTCGTCAAACTGCTCGACCGGCCGGCGCCCGCAGTCAACTCGGTGCGCGCCGGCTACTCCTGCACCTTCGCCATCAACGTCGTGGGTGAGGGCTGGCGGTTTGACGGACGCGGCGGCAGTAACGGCGGTTGCAGTGGTTCCCCGTGCGCCATCCCGCCGGCTGAGTGTCTTCGCACTCGCCGGTCGTCCTTGAGTGATGACGGTTGATGGTTCAGGACACCGGTGGTTTTACGGCGACTATTCTGAGCATTTAAATAATGGTTCTGAACTACCGTGTTAAACGATGATCATTCTGAACAGAGGTCGTACTGTGCAGTCCTGAACAATTCTGAATGACGGATCTGAACAAAAGAACTTCTGTACTCCCGTTATCCATAATGATGATTCCGGTGAATGATTTTGAATAGCGGCGGTGGTGAACTGCGATGGTTGTTAAACCGTCTCACGCTTGTGAACACTGCCTGCAGGAACGCTTTACTTCTGGGGCTCCACCAACACGTCGCGTGACCCGACCATGTACCCCAAGGCCGTCCACGACCTGTGTGGCACCCACGTGCGCAGCCTCGCATGCGGGTGAGGCTCACTCGCTCACTCGCCCGTCTGCCCGCTCGATCGCTTGTTCCACACTCTCGCTCGCTCGAGCAACCAACTTGCTCAACTACTCCCTCATTTGCTCACTCATTAAACACATGCTCATCACTCAATTGCCTACTCCACAAAACGACACTCCCCCCCCCCGTTACCCAATCACCCGCTGAAAATGGATCGCACGCATCGTCACTAAATGGCGTGCTCGCTCATTCACTCGCTGAAACGTTCGCTCCGTCCAAAAACCGCACGCACAATCTCTCACTCGCTCGCTCGCTCAAACAGCGTGCGCACACACGTGAACACCTGTACATGCTTGCCTGTGCATGCATACCTGTGCGTGCTTGCCTCTGTGTGTGTCCGTGCATCAGTAAAAGCAGCATCCTCATCACATCAGATGACAGCACCATGAGCTGGGGCCCATGGCCAACGTACGGAGAATTGGTGAGGCCCTTCCCACTATGTTAAATGTGCACACACACACGCACGTATACACAAATTGCTCCATTGAGATTCTGCGCGATAATCATTGCCAGACCAATACCAATTTGCAGCCCCGGTGTAGAGTCAACTGATGCCCACAAAGGGGCAGCTGCCACTAGGGGGGTGCCACCATTTTGAAATGCGTTGAGACGGTGAAGTCACTCGTTGCATGTGAAGCGTTCTGAGATGCTCCAGCATCTCATTACCACGTACGGCCCTTTTAGTCAGTCCACTCCTAGGTGAGCGCCTTCCCTTGTCCCTATGGATCGCGGGGGGTTACTTTATCACAAATCAGTGTGGGTTGTTGATGGTCAGTGTGGGTTGGCGAACGTGGGGAGTGCAGGGCCGGAAGCATGTAAGTACAGTACAGCAAATGGGTTTTTTGCAGCACCGCTCTCAGCTGCCCACCAACATAGTCCAACAAGCCACCTGTGGCACGCTGTTTGTTTTTTTGTGGTCGTCCGTGTGAGCGCATCCAAAAGACGTGGAGACTCGGACCCAAGCTCTTATTTGAGCCGGGCACGGCTCTATTGAGCCCAAGCATGACCACAGCATGACCACAGCCCAAGGCCTGCGACGGCGACTGCAGTTGCTAGGAAACGGCGCAACTCTCTTCGGACGACGACACGGGTTCCTTAGCATCCGCGTGTGTGGCAGACGGCGCACGTTATTTTTACGGTTTGTACGCGCGTTTGCAGGTAATAGCCGGGGGTGGCCAGCCGGATTCGAATCGCGAAACTTCGCGCCAAGCGGCGAACCGCGCCACCACTACGCTGGGCCGCCCACCGTAAGCGAGCGATCTAAGGGCGGCATTTCCTGCTCCTGCGGGCCGGCGCAGGAGCACTCTTGCTCCCATAGCGGCCACAGCGTCTGCGTTTCGCTCCCTCGTTACCCCGCTTGTTGGTTTCTGTTGTGTTGCGCGCAGGGCTACGGCGAGGGAAAGCAACGCTCCTCCTCCGTGCCCCAGGAGCTCAAGAAGCTGAGTGGCATCCACATTCACGAGGTGACTCCCCTCACAGCTCATGGCTACAACACTGGCAGGCGTTCGATGACAACAATACCGTTTACCTCTTCTCTCTTATCACCCACTTTCTTCTTCTGCCCTCCATTTTTTGCTGCCCCTCCGCTACCATTTCATGGTCCTGGTACAGATGGACCAATATAACAGGGAGTGGGGTTGGGGGACGTACAAACTCCACACGCAGAAAGGCGCCCTGAGTCGTGAATCGAACCCAGGCTCTTCTTTGCTGCGAGCGTTGCCGCTGCACCGCCGCCCCGCCACTGGAACACGACACGACACATCCACCGCTAGGCCTTTTTGACAATCCGCTGCTGGATGGTGGCCTCCCCATGTCGTCGTGAAGGGGTCGTGGGGGGGGATCTGATCACACTTTACCACGCTGGTCAGTGCGGGGTTGGTAAAAGCATGGAGCAAAGCTGTGTGAGCATAGAAGTACAGTACAACGATGATTTTTTTTTCTATACTGCCTTCTGCTGTAGTCGCGTAGGCTATAACAACCTGTTGTGCACAGTGGTCACCCATCCAAGTGCTATCCAGGCGCAAAACCTGCTTAGCTTCGAAGATCTGACAACCATATCATTTCAGGTAAATTGGAATATGATTGGAGATACACATTCAGGCAATTTTTAATGAATACTTTCCAACTAAAATTGAGAGCATTAATGCATTAGCTCTGTCCATAATAACTCTGGACAAGATGGTCCAATATAATTGAAACTCCAGGACAGTGTTCTTCATTGCAAGGCCTGCGGGCCACTGGCGGCCTTTAGTGCGGCCCTTCTGAAAAATACACAAATAGTGAAAACAACCCCCCCCCATCATCATCGTGCTGCTGTCAAACCCTCAATGGTTTCAAATAATGTGTGTAGCGGACCTCACACTGATGATGTCTTATCGGCGAAAGTGGCCCCCTCCCCGCCTCTGAACATTAGTGAAGAACACCGCTCTAGCATAAAGTTGTGTTGCCTTTTAGGGTGCCACCCTATAGAAAACTGGGCCAGATTAATGCAACGGTTGCCCTAAAAACAGCGTCGGCGCCCCAGTTTCGCCGCCTCTGCTGCCCTCCTGCTCTAGCCCACCGCCCTCCCCTCCCAATGACGTCATTACTCTCGCGAAGGAGTTTTCCGTGAACGTCGCCCGGTTTGTTGCACATAGCTGTCAACCCATACGGTTTACCCGGATTCTTGTACAGGGAAATTGAGTGTACATCTGTTTCATACAGACGTTTCAATACGAGAAAAAAAAATGTCTGTTTGTGTTTCTCCCTTGTGATGGGACTTTGTAGGATGAACGTTGAGATTTCTAAAGGCACGGGGTGACCAATAGGTTCTGAATTGGTCTGTAATAATGTAGGGCACTAATAAGGGGTCAACAGGTATGATGGTGCGACATCACCGGCCGCTGATTAAACGATGCCCCAAGGATGGGAAAAGGGCATTTGGAGAGAGAGCGGCCAGCCGCGGAAGCCGTGAAATGTTACAGGATTTCCCCCCCCCCCCCCCCGGTCCTCGTTTTGCACGGTGCAGGTGGCGATGGGATTTGCACACTCCCTGCTCTTGGCGCGGGACGAATCGGAGGAAGACAAAGCTCTCGTCCATCAGATCCCAGAGTACTGCCCCCGTGCCCTGTGATTAAGTCTGCCACTAGCACGCCGGTGTTACTGTCGGGGAAAAGATGTCCCGACTGTTGAGGTGGCCGGGTGGCTCAGCGGTGCAGAGCGCTGAGCTGGAACCGCTGACAATCCTCTGGGTACAGAATCCAGGTGACAGCCGCCTGTGATTTAGCCGGGTTCTCAGGTGCGGTGAGTTTGGTGATCTCAGTCCCGGTCACCGAGTGCACACACGCACACAAAAAAACATCGCCATGAAAATGAGCTTTGACACTCCATTTAGCTTACTTACAGCTCTTAGAATGAAAATATCGGTTTGGCTCTCTAGTGACAAACATTGGCCTCACAGGGCAGAGTGGGTGGGAAATTGCTGTCCCATCTACTGTGTGGACCAGAGGCCACTGAAGGGATCTCGGAGGAAGCTCGGTGATATCTGCTTCCGTGGGCTGTTTTTAAACACGAATGGACGCACTGCTCTGCGTCTCATTGACGCGACGCGGATAGCGCAACCGGGGATAAAATCGGGGAAGATTTTCCCCTAAAAAGAAAGTGATCTCACTGCTTGCCGCTTCGAGGTCAAGAAGCTGTCATAGGCAGTGGCCCACCTATGCCATCACACAGAACTGTCACTTTCTTTTCACAGTTCCCACAGCTGCGGCACAGGTGATATACCATCTGGAAGGTCTGCTTCTCTAGTACCACCACCCGGCTTTATGTCTCCCACCCGTCACAACGTCGATGTGTCCTTCGAGGGCCGCTGTTACAGTCTCGTGTACAGCCCATTTGTCGCTCCACTGCTGAACCGAGGCCTCCCTGCATTTGCACTTCTTTCTGTTGGCCATAGTGTAGCCCCTCCCCCCCCCCCCCCCCCGAGGACATTTACGCCGGTCGGTGAGGCGCTGTGTCTGTCTTTCGGCTTTGATGAGCGTTGGGATAAAGCAGGTGGGGGGGGGGGGGAGTCAAATTTCGTCAGGGCCTAAGTGGGCTTTCACGCGATGTTGATTCTTTCATGGCCCGGTATAAGTGATGCAACAAAATATATTCGTCAATGGAGCGACAGTGATTTTTTTTTTACGATTGTAGTCGACGATGACCGCCGATGAGCAGACGAGAATCATCGTGCGTGACGACGGCAGCGAGGCCAAAGCACGACCGAGCGTCGTGACGAGACTGAATGAACGCGTAAGCGGGCCGAGATGGTTGAGTAGCGTCGCCCTAGATGAGAGACTCCGTTCACTGAGAAGACCAAACTCTCTATGACCGTACGGTATAGACGAACATTCACCGAGTTAATCGATTGGCTGAACTGATGATTTTAATGGGAGGGCTGGAATTGCTCGCCCCTTACCCCCATATTGAAGAACTAAGAGTGTTTGACTGAATGTTTTATGAGTTGACTAGACCCAAAGAATGACAGGAAACTCACAATCTTAAGACTTTCTCTAAAACTCCAAAAGGCTACCTTTGACTAGTCCAAAACTATGACCAAAATGACATGTTAAAAAAAGTTAACACTGTTAGCACAGTGGATTGACAAAAGCGGCTGTACATTCACAATAAACAAATATGTAAACAAACAAAAATATCTAATTTGTGCTGTGCTTTAATGACCAGGACACATGGGGTTATATTATGTATTGGTCAACAAATCACATAGGGTTATTTAACTCTTATCAAATGTTTAAACGGACTTATATTAACGTGAATGCGTACATGAATTGTCTTTTGAAATGAATCTCGGACTTGTTCAATCTTTGGACATTCATCAATGGTGTTTTCGTCTCAATTCATTCAGGGTTCTTGATCGAATTTTGTACGCAACGTGTATGAGGTGTCCCCCACAGGAAGAATACAAATGAATATTAATGATGATAGCTAAAAACGTTAACTTAAACGATAAACAATGAAGACGTTTTAATGCCAGTGTTGAAATAAATTAAACAACCCTGTTTCTTGACTTTTGGGCCAACCCTGTACATCAATTGCTGACGCAAATTAAAGAGGGTTACTGCCACGTGAACCTTTGGCGGTTGAGCCGGAGAAAGCTCTCGTGACGCCTTTTCCCGGTGCCGCACCGTGCGTTGTTCGGCACGAGGAAGAAGTTCTGCCTGGCGTGTGGAACGGAACGTCGGACATCGCGCCGTGCAGGGCGCAAGCGTGAAAACGCCTCTCCCCGCCACACGGTAGAGGGAAGCTGAACCGTAGGGATTGCTGCTATGCTTTTGCCATTTTTGTTTTAAGTCTTCGGCTGTATCCCTACAGTTTGATTTGAGTTCATCGATGGCCTTCACCCAAGCGAGAGAACAGTTAAGAGATGCACCGTCCCCCCCCCCCTTTTGCAAGGGGGGGGGGGGACCCTGGGTGGGTGTAGTCGCAGTGTCAAGTCAAAATGCAAAGCTACGGTGCCTGCAAGTAAACCGCGAGGCGACTTGGTGACCTCGTCACTCGGGTTGACAAGAGTGGCACTGCCTTGTCGGAAGTCAACAGACAATTCTCCTTTAAAGGAGGAATGGACGAGATCCACTCTGCTTCTGAAAACACAATTGAGTGAATAACAAATCTAAAATGGCATTTAATCTGCTGCTATTAATCAACACTGCTTTTAAGTTTGTTCCAGGTGAGAACTCAGAGACCAGGATGGGAAGTTTCATTTGCCAGTGACCGGGGGCCCATGAGTGTGCCAGTAGGGGGAAGATGATTGCTGCTACTGTGTAATCCCAATTGAATCATTTAAGGTGTCATTTTCGAATTTGGAAAAAATGTGCAATGGAACCCTGTGTGTACGCAAGTGTACACTGTCACTTTAACCGCTCCCGTAAACAACTGGTTGTAATAAAGCAGCCACACATGCAATTACATTTTCAGAGATTCCTTTTTAATGAGTAAATTCTGAAATAATAATCACCGGCTTTCGCTTCACCTCCGCTAATGAGATGTTAATGAGAGGTCATAACGAAAGCACGCCCGGCGATGATGAAGAGGGAGTGGGGATGAGTGGACTTCGGTGGGGAGGACGGAGGGAGGGGTTCATGGGAGCCCCCCCCCCCCCCCCTTCTGTCTCCCCCCATCTCCAACGCCTTCACCCGCCACTGGCGTCTGCTTAGACACGGTTGATACCCATGATCTGGAAGAGGGTTGGGGAGAGGGTCACGAGTGCAAAAGTGAGATCCTTCAAGCGCTTGGCAGGGGTGATCGCCGGCAACCGACCGATTGTCACGCACATGTAAATCTCAATCGTAGTGTCGCCAAGTCAACGCCCGACCTCAAGGGTCTGATGGACCAACCATCACCACAGTCTGGTTTTTGGGTCGTCCCCTCTTGTTATGCACTCCACATGAATTATGCTTGTTTACCCAGGGAGGATTCACAAAGCCTCAAGATTCATTTTCAGTGGGGTCCTGACTTATTTTAGCATTCGGGGGAATATGCTGCTGCTACTGTGTGTCGCCCCATTGAGTAATTTACAGGTCGCATGTCATCTTTATAGCGATGAGAGGAAACAGGAGAACCCCAAGGAAAGCGATGCGAAACAAGGGGAGAACTCGCAAACTCCAGATGGAAAGGCGCTCAGTTTGGGAATCGAACCCAAGCCCTTCTTACTATGAGATACGAGCGTTAACAATTGTGCACCACACTGCCCTCTCCGACACGACAAATCGCACTGCTTGCTGCTTGTCATTTTTGCCACCCAATATCCATGTCCTTCGAGGGCTACTCTTTCCGTCTCACCACCAAGACTGGATTTAGGGGTTTCCCCCTTGGCAGAGCGGGACCAAGGTAACTGTTGGATCACTGGGCTCAGTGTTAATTCCTGAGGCTGAGACGGCCAGACTAGGGCATCTTGAATGCTGCTCGGATTAATCTTCAGTGACGGACAGGCTTCTAGAGGTAGATCGGGGGTACCTGTGTTGTTCCTGGGGCTCAGGTGTTAATGCCAGAGGCCCCCTGCCGTCCCAACCCATCCCTACTTTATATCAATTGTCGCATCCCTCCGGCACTCGCACCAGCAATTACGTTTGACTCACGATCCGTTTTCTCCTGCGGCGGCATTTACGATCGCACGACGACCGCAGCCCCACCGGAGTTGCGACAAATCTTAAAGGCGACTGCCGGGTGGGGATGGGGGAGCGGGTGGGCGGGTGGTGCCCAAGTTCTCCCAGTACCCTCCCGTTGAACTCACGCTGTCGATCCAGTCGTTGAACGCCGACACGCGGGTGAACACGGTGGGCTTGCGGATGTAGTTGCAGCCCATAGAAGACACGTAGCTGGTGATGCCGTGCACCTCCCACTTGCCGGCAGAGTTGATGCAGTTCAGGGGGCCGCCAGAGTCGCCCTGAAGTTGGCCCGAAGGCAAGAGAAACGGAACGGGTGAGAGAATGAGAGTTGTCCCGGTGGCCCGTTGACGTGGCGATTTATCGTAGCGAATGGTGGAGTGATGTTGATGGCGATGAGAAAAAGGTAGCGATGTTGATCTACCTTAATGCAGCCATGGGTTTAGTTTGTTTAAACAGATGGTAAACTCAAGTGGCCCGAATATGGTCTCATTTGCATGAGCAGCCTGCGTTTGAGAGAGATTAACTGGATGTCAATTGTCTCTTATTACGTCAATTCGCATATGAATTCGTACTGATTATTGATGCACCCATAGTTTGTTCTTAATATGTATTAAATCCGGGGGGGGAGGGATTTAGCTACTTGGGGACCCTAAAAGCTTTTGCTTGGTTTTGCTCACGATTCTCTCCATCACCGACCACCGACTGTGCGAAGGGTAATTCAAGGTGCCCCCCGCCCCCCGCCTCCTGCTTACGTTGCACCCAGAGTCGAATCCGTCTCCTCCGGCGCAGACCATGGTGGTCTTGGCGTTGGTCGACCACCAGCTGGGCTGGCTGCAGGTGGCGTGGTCCACCACGGGAAGGTTGGCCTGCTGCAGGGCATCAGGCAGGGCGCCTCCAGCTTTGGGTCACAGCAGGGGTGGGAGGGATAGAGGGGGGATACAAAGAGGGCAGGGGAGGGGAAAGTGAAGTCAATTTTCATTTTGTTTATGAATGTGGCGCCTTTCTGGCACAAATCTGCCACTCTAATCGCCATCAGAAAGGGAATACAATACTAAACTAAACTTTTTTTTATTTTACCAGGTAAGGCGCACTAAGCTATATAAGCAATTTTTCAGCAACGACCTGGCCACAAATGATAGCTCAACGAAGTGGCTCATCATGTGGGAATTTATAGCAGCGAAATACTCTGAACACGTTGATTCGAAATGTGGAGGGAAAAACCAGAGGACCCGGAGGAAAATGCACGCGACCATGGGTAGAGAGAGATAAAGATAGAAACACGCAAACTCCAAATATACAGCAGCAGCTGGCGTCAGGGTCGGGATAGAACCCACAACCTCCTGCACACCAGGCGAGGTAGTTAACATCTCACCACCCCTTAAGGCAACTCCGTCAACACGTTAGTGGTGAGCTCCGTTACGTTGCTACGTTACGTTGATATGTTATGCTGCTACATTATCGTTGCTATCTTCTTGGTTCTTTCGGTAAAGTCACGTAGAAGGGAAGTAATAAAATAATAAAAATAAAACATAATAAAACAAAGAATTGTTTTATTATGTTTTATTTTTATTATTTTATTACTTCCCTTCTACGTGACTTTACCGAAAGAACCAAGCAGATGAATCCCTGCAGTCACGAAAGCTTTAAATCGAAATTTATCGTTGCTATGTTACGTTGCTACGTTATCATTGCTATATTATCGTTGCTATGTTACGTTGCTAGGTTACCGTTGCTACATTATCGTTGCTATGTTACGTTGCTAGGTTACCGTTGCTACATTATCGTTGCTATGTTACGTTGCTAGGTTATCGTTGCTACATTATAGTTGCTATGTTACGTTGCCACTACAGTCTGTTAAGGCTATATGGGGGATCTTTGTCTTTTTTTGTGTGTGTGTATGTGTGTGTGCTGACCAGTAACAACTCTACCGGCACATTTACCTCAACGTTGCGACGGGAGTGCAGAAAGATGAAGTTGTATTGTAACTGTACTGTACTTTCTATGGTTCCACGTCGGATTGCTCCCTCGCACTCCTTAACCAACTCGCTTTGACCAGCGTGGTGAAGTATGGTCAAATAGAAGCCCCCCCCCCCTCCCTCATCCAGCAGTGGATTGACAAATACGGCTGTACCTTAATAAACATACAGTATATAAACTAAACATCGACTTATGCTGTGCTTTAAGACTAGCTATCTTTTCAACAATTATACCTTAATTAAACGAAACAGTTTTTGTTTACTTACAAAGGCAAAATCATATTTTACATGTATTCATCACTTGCCATGGGAATGTGGAATTCACCTCACAAATCTTGCTTAACTGCCGCGGCTGGAGATCGAACAGTGAACGCCTTGTGAGTAATCATCATTGAGTATTGTGCACGTGGTATCGGCACTATTCGTTCTCATCGTGCGAGGGCGGTCGTCAACCAAGCAAGGCGCCGCTGCGTGTCACGGACACAGTCTGCGCTAGTTTGACTGCAGGGGACGATGCTGCTGCTGATGTGGTCTAGCCGAGGGCACCCCCAGTGGCAGCTGTCCCTGTGTGTGGCACAGGGACGATCATCGCACAGAGGAAGGCGCCGCTGTGTGTCACACAGTCCGCAGGAGTTTGCAGGGAGGGAACGATGTTTCTGCTGTGTGTGAGACCCTATTGAGTGACTTCCGTTGTCATTGTTCAAATTTTGGCAAATGCAGAGCTGTGACGCCACCCGGCGCGCAGTCGCCCACTCTTTTCAAATGACGGCTCTTTTAAAGGTCCGCTGTGAGTACAGCAGACGGCGCGTAGTGGTATTACTTTAACAGTCAATATGCAACACCGCAGTAATAGTCATGACGGCCCGCCGCCGTGGTCGAACCGCGATACCTCTGCGAACAAAGCGGCGAACGCGCCACCGCTCGGCCCTTAATAGGTGCTCGCAAGAGGCACGCACGTACTGGAGAGACGGCC